TTCTCTGGAAGTGAGTCAGGATTTGCCTATTGGTAGAAATAACATTAGCTGTTATCATTATCATCATCATTTTTTATTGAGTCTCTACCAAACAGCAACAACTACAATTAGATATTAATCACTTTGAAAAGATTTTTTTCTCAGTTGAAATAAAAATATCCCTCATAGAACAAACATATTTCACATTAATAGACATTTCCACCTCAACATACATGATTTTATTATATCCTTTTTTTTAAGAATAGGTTTTTGAGTAGTATGAAGTAGATGGAAACTTAAGGATACCACTGGAGGGCGGCAGTGACATATGGCTCAATTTTGTTAGTGGGTTAATAAGTCCAGAAGCCCCTCTCAGCCAGGTGTGGTGGCTCATGTCTATAATCCTAGCACTCTGGGAGGCCAAGGCAGGCGGATTGCTTGAGCTCAGGAGTTCGAGACCAGCCTGAGCAAGAGTGAGACCCCGTCTCTACTAAAAATAGAAAAATTAGCCCAGTGTTGTGGCACATGCCTATAGTCCCAGGTGCTCAGGAGTTGAGGCAGGAAGATCACTTTGGCCCAGGAGTCTGAGGTGGCAGCGACTTATGATGACACCAGTGCACTCCACCTGGGGTGACAGAATGAGACTTCGTCTCCAAAAAAAAGCCCCTCTCCTCACCACCACCATCTCCCATTATATGAATTCCCACTCCCTGAGATGGAAATCAAAGGAGGGAGTAATCATCCTGTTTTCTTTTGTTTTCTGTTATTTTATTAATATATACCTATTTCCACATAGGTTTCCCTCAGCAAAGCTGCCTCTCCAAAGCTCTCCTCCCTTCCTATACCTTCATTATAATATTTGTGTAATAAATTCCCATTAAGTTGCAGGAAATGAACTTTGATGTCTTCAGTGCCTAATAAAGACATCATCCTGGTGTGCTGCTGAAGCCAGAAAAGCTCTAGTATTGGCAAAAATTTCACTAGGGAAAAAAATCCCATAATTTCACCTTTTCCTGATTTTGACATTATAACAGTGTACTCAGTCATGAAATCACTGCACATCAAAAGAGACCCATGAAAGAACAACTAAAATAGGTGAGGGGACATAGTCTATTCCATACAGGAAATACCTAGGATCAAGAGACTTTTTTTAAACGATAAAATCTAGTGTCTGTCAAGCCAATCTTCCAAAATAAGATCATATCTTCTCCATCACTGCCATCTGAGTAGCACCTAAGCAGATAAGCTTAGATACGTAGAATTTCTCTATTAAATCACCACAATGGCCTTTTAATTCTTATCTCCAGTGTTGACCCATTAAAAGGCATCTTCCATCTGCTGTGCTAAAATGATCTTATCACATTATTTCCCTGGTTAAAACCCTTATATGGCTCTCTGTAACCTTCAGGATAACAATCCAAATCCCTTTACAGGATAAGTCTCTAAATGATCTGCCTACCTTCTTGGTTTCATACTTTGCCATCCATTCATTTTTAAAATAATAGCAGGAATAATCATACAATAACAACAATAATAACTAATACCTATAAAGCCTGTGTCATATTGCAGGCATTGTCCTAAATACATTTTTTATTGTAGCAAAATATATATAACATAAGATTGACATATTAGCCATATTTAGGTACAGAGTTCTGTGGATTCAAGTACATTCACACTGGTCATGCAACTATCACCCCCATCCATCTCCAGAACTTTTTCATCCTCCCCAACTAAAACTCTGAATCCATTAAATGCTAATTCCCCATTTCTCCCTCTCCCCAGCCCCCCTGGCAACCATCATGTACTTTCTTTCTTTATGAATTTGACTGCTCTAGGAATCTCACGTAGATGGAATCATATAATATTTGTCTTTTTGTGAACAACTTATTTCACTTAGCATAATGTCTTCAATCACACATGTGCATATTATAACGTGTATTAAAATTTCCTCTCTTTTTAAGGTTGAATAATGCTCCATTTTAAGTATATATCATATTTTGTTTATCCATTCATCTGCCAATGGACACTGGATTGCTTCTGCCTTTTGGCTATTATGAATAATGCTGCTATCAACATTTGTGTCTTAGTCTGCTCAAGGTGCCATAACAAAATCCCATAGACCGAGTGGCTTAAACAACAGGCATTTATTTCTCACAGTTCTGGAGACTAAGAAGTGGAAGATCAAGAAGCCAGCCAATTCAGCTCCTGGTGACAGTGCTCTTAAAGATGGCTGCCTCCCTACTGTAGCCTCACATGACCAGGAGAGAGAGGAAGAGCAAGGTCTTCTGTTTCTTCTTATAAGGGCATTAATTCCCTCATGAGAATCCTACCCTTATGACCTTATCCAAACCTAATTATCTCTGAAAAGCCACACCTCCAAACACCATCATACTGGGGGTTAGGGGTTCACAATATGAATTTGGGGGAGTCACAAACATTCAGTTCATAACAATTGATATACAAATATCTGTTCAAGTCCCTGCCTTCACTTCTTTTGGGAATATACCCAGAAGTGGAATTTCTGGATCATATAGTAATTCTATGTGTAATTTTTTTGAGGAATCATCATATCGTTTTCCACCATAGCTGCACCATTGTACATTCCTACCAGCAATGCACAAAATTCCAATGTCTCCACATCCACTTCAACACTTGTTCAATCTGGTTTTCTTTTTTTTTTTAATAATAGCCATCCTCATAGGTGCGAAGTTGTATTTCATTGTGGTTTTGATTTGCATTTTCCTAATGACTAGTGATGTTGATCATTTTTTATGTGCTTATTAGTCATCTGTGTTACTTCTTTGGAAAAATGTCTATTTAAATCTTTTGCCCATTTTTTAATCAGGCTATTTTCTGTTGCTGTTGAATTATACATTCTTGCTCATTGAGAATTATTCTTTAGAGTAAAGAGTAGTGCCTGCTCTGTATAACAACAGTTGTGACCTGGAAAAACCTTATTTATTTACTAATTTCAGTTGATGTAGTTCATTAATGGCATAGCAGATGTGAAAATGATGATATTTTAAGAAGACTGCCTTTGAGAAAATACATCCCCAGATAACTTTGATGCAAAAGTTTGAATCAATACAAAAGTGATTCTTCAAAAATTTTTTTTTTATCAAGGATTGTATATGTGCTCTAAATTTTGGACCTTTCCACTGAATGATGGATAGCAAAAATGGGTAGGTATGACTCTTTTCAAGGTACCTCCTTCAGATATGAATGTGAAAACTGCTGAGCCTTGAGCCAGCCAGACAAGGCTCCAGACATGCTATAAATACTATGTCACTTTTGTTAAATCTTTGTTTCTCTGCCTCAGTTGCCTATCTATAGTGAGGGCATATGATAACTTTGTGTCAATTTAGCTAGACTGAACTACAGTCCCCACAATTCTCTTTCTACTATATTTTCAGTTAGGGTGGGACACAAAGAACGGAAAGGAGCCGACGAGTGATATTGCAGTGTGCACAGTTAATCATTCAAACACTAATCTCTAGATCAGGCGTCCTCAAACTATGGTCTGCAGGCCACACGTGGGCCGCCTAGCACATTTATCCAGCCCTCAGGGTGTTTTTTGCCACTGCTGCCTGTCCACTTAGCAGCCTACTTGTCCTGGGCCCACAGTGCGCACTCTCCAATGATCTGAGGGACAGTGAACTGGCCCCATTTAAAAAGTTTGAGGATCCCTGCTCTAGATAATGCTGGGAAGGGATCTTATAGATATAAAGTCCCTAATCAGTTGACTTTAATCAAAAGGGAGATTATCTTGAGTTAGACATCTGACTTAATCAGTTAAAAGCCCTTTAAAAGAGGGTATGAAACTATGAAACTTTCCTGAGCCCAGGGACTCCAAACTACAGCTAAATCAACAACTGTTCTGCTTTCACCCTGTTACTTTCCTTCCTTCCTAACTCTCTGAAGAAAATAAACTTCAACTTATGCCTGTGGGGCACCAGCCTGTTCATGATCTTCCCTTTTTGTTTGCCCTGTGGATTTTAGGAGGCTTAGCCAGACTCCATAATTGTGTAAGCCTCATAATAAATCATATATAAACACACACACACACACACACACACACACACATTTATTCTACTGATTCTTCTCTAATTGAACCCTGATGGAAGCAGAAGTTTAAGTTAGGTAACGCCTGAGTTACTTATTTCTTCAGTTCACATGTATGTATGCAGTGTGTTTCTCACAGATGAAGCTATTGATTCCTCATTAGTCTTTAAACACTTGAAGAAAACAAAGATATCTAGATTACACTGGATATGAAAGCAAAACCTTGTCCCCACTGTCATCATGTATTATAAATCTAATCTTATCAAAGATGAAAGAGCTGTAACTAAGATGTGGGCACTATTAAATTGATGGGTGTGCTGACCTGTGAAACAACACATACCTTAGTAAGTTAAATTGCTTGTGTAGTATATGTATATATTTTTTGGTAGGTAAGTGTACCTTTATTTATTTTACAGGGGTACAGTATATTTTGGTTGTGCTTTATAATTGTCACTGGAATCTTCTATTTGAATCAGATGTTTTCATCAGAAAGAAATTAGGGAAGTAATTTTATAATACTATTTGGTGACTATGGGACAGCTTATGTGTACAAGACATATATTCACTTTCTTTGTATACTTGGTCATTGTCCTGATCATTTCCAAAAGTGTGCTCATGGATGGTCATAAAGTTTTCATCCAAAAATTAGGATAGTAATAAAAGTTAGATATAAGATAAAATTTCTTTTGGAATCTTTTGGGATGTAAATAACACTAAAATATTTAAGTTTTGACATTTTCTGGATTTAATAACGGTGAGAAAATTTAATCCTAGAGTCGAGCAAAATTTAATGCCACTGAATATTTCAGGAAATAGGTTTTTAAACAGTGAGGTTACTGGAGCCAGTATTTCTGCATTCAGGTAAAAAAATACATAATGGATGTGAAATTTGGTAGCAGTAGGCTCCCATTCTTTTTCCCAAAATGGCCTACTCAAAAGACAGTGAATGTCAAGAATTGTAAATTTCTCGAGGAGTTTATTTCACATGTCATCCAGCACATAACTGAACACATCATAAAAACTAAATACTTATTAAATCAATATGCATTTCTTAATAAGAAAAAGTCAATAAAATGGCATAGTAAATGTATCACTGGACTTAGTTACTCATCTGTAAAATGGGAACACTAATCACGACTTAATACGATTCTAATAATCATGTTCTAAATTTAAGTTGTATTATAATACAATGTACTTTATAAATTCTATAGCAATATATAAATCTTATAATCCCTTCCAAAGGATTGTTCTCTGATCTAATAAAATACAATAGAAATTCATTACTAAACAATCACTGTTACTCATTTTACATTTATATAATGGATCATGTTAACAATAAAGGACAATTTTCCTTCTTTAATGAGCAAATTATCCAACAAGCAAAGTACAGGTGTTTTTTGTGCTATTTTTATTTTTGCAACTTATCTTTAATGAGCTAATATATGCAAGGTAGCATCTTTCTGGATCTGGAAAGTTCAGTTCTTTCTATATCATATGCCTAACCCACCACTGACATCACCATTCTGGAGAAAGCATAATAGCAACCTAAGCACTCTGATTTAAAGGAATATTCATAAACATCCACTTTCCTGGGTCTTGAGAAGCTCCACAATAACAAGGTCAAATGGTCATGCTCAGGAAGAAAGTATTAATAAAATCAATATGCTGCCAATTCCCCCCATTCCAACCTGCTATGTTTGATATATCATTTATCAAGGTGATTCTGGTAGAGTTTAGCTAAGGAACACACCCATAATCTATTTCTCCACATAAATATTCTCTACTATTTTTTCAAGATTGGTATTTTATTTTATTAATATATGAATTTTATTTTCTGGTGTTCAAGTCAATGTAATGCTAAACTGAAGAATGGGACTAGTCATATCTTTTTAGGTAAAGTTTAATTCTTAAAATAAAAGGTAAATAGATTTATAAGAAATATTTCTAATAAATATAACACTATGGTCTTTAAAAATAATACTTTTGTATAGAGATGCTGATAAAGTATTGCTACAGAGGGTTTTTAGGAATTATTTTTATTTTTAAGGTGAAACTGTACATGCTTATAATTAAAGTATTTTAATGTAAATCTTTCAAGGGAAGTACATATTAGGTGTTGAAATTAAATTGCAGACATAGTTTTACTCTCTTCCTTGATCATAACTAAAAAAATATTTTAGAAAAGAGCTAAAGCAAAAACAGGATGTTACACAGATTGCTGCTTCTTTTCCAAACACTTCTCAATATCATCAAGCACTTGAACGGCAGCCCTTGGAATTCGAGTCCCAGGACCAAATACATTGGAAACGCCAATTTCATACAGAAACTCATAATCCTGTTGAAAGAATTTTTTTAATTAGTAAAAGAGACAATATTTCCAATTTCAAGAAAATAAAATAACAATGAACCCTGTTCCTTTCCTCTTTGTTTCCCAATGCCTGAAACCTTCTCAACTGGTATATTATTGGTATTTGGGGCTAAAAAATTCTCCCTTGATTGGGACTGCTATTAATAGTAAATAGCACACCCTCCTACCCCAAGTCATTAAAAGAACCAAACATTACTCTGTCCATTTTCCAAATACCCCAGTGTGTTGTTTGTGGCAGGAAGCTGAAGGGCCTGAAGAACTTCTGAGCCCTAAACCAAAATTTTCTCTCATCTAAATTTTCACTACTTGTCATTATTTGTGGTAAATTTGGTATCATATTATAGCTGTGAGTTTACAAGACTATTTTCCTCCGAAGTATTTTGCCTGCAGCTAGTAAATGGCAGTATTTTGAATTTGGCCTCATGATGGAATTAGATTATGAAGCTAAACTCATTTTTTTCATTTTCTGTTGCAATTGCTATTTGTGAGTTTAATGACACTTAATATTTGAGTGAAAAAATTCCTAGGGCACAGATACTGCTCCAGACTTCAGGATGCTTTAACATCAGAACATTTGTGGCTATAATAACAAGGTTAGGATCTACAACTTTAAGACAGACCCTGATCCTTATCCACCGGGTTGATCACATATGACAGGACAGTCTGATCTGTGTTTACTGTTGCAGCACCCCTTCTCACAGAACCCACTTATACTCTCAAGTGATCATATTTACATGATAAATTATATGGTCACACTAAAAAAATTATCACCAAACTACTTCTTTTCCATTTCTATTATATCTTTGTAATATTCTTATATAATAATAGTATAATTTTGCAATGGAATTTAATACATCTTACTGAACTTGTCTCCTCCTGTGAACTTTTGGAGTAGAGATCATGTTCAATCATCTTTGTATCCCCAGCACTTGACATATAAAGGTGCTCAAACATGTCATTGTTTTTGAGTAGGTGCTATTGATTTTACAAGCTCATAAGAAAACTGGATGAAATATTAAATAACAATCATCTGCCAACTGGGAATGGTCAGAGTAATAGGTTATCATCTTCTCTCTTCCCTAAAAATGCTATGTAGCATTTGTCCTGACATCTGAGTTATGAATTTGGAATGGAGGATTCAACTGGAAGAAGACTGCAAAATGTTACAACTAAAAAAAGGGTGTTTGACTTACCTAAGTCTTACATAAGCTTTGTAAAATGTACCTTAGTGAGGAGGTAAAATGTTAGCAATAAGTGAATCTGAGTAAAGGTACACAGGTGTTACTTGTACTATCTTTATTTTTGTACCTTCTGTTTGTTTGAAATGATTTCCAAATCAAAAATTATTTTTATATATCTTCCTCTTAGTCGGGCAGATATGATGGAAGCAGGAATCATGAGTCTGCTAAACTTGCCTAAAATACTTGGAGGCCACTCCTACCAAAAGGGTTAGAAAATTCTGATTGTAGTAACATACTGGTGAAAATAGACATTTATTTAATCATACTGCAGAAACTATAAGCTCCACAGTGGCAGAGGCTATTATTTTATCTGTTTGATTCATCACTATGTATTAATGCCTCCTAATTTAAAAACTAAGTGACTTTCAACTGGATAATAACAGCATTTTATATATTCAGTGGAAATAACAAGAAAAATACAAGGGTATTGACTGCTATAATTATATAATAAAGCACACTCATATTAACACATAAGTTTAACAGAAAATTGTCCTTAGTTGTTAAACTCAGAGAAAAGAGTATGGCAAACACCTACAGATGTCCTAAGTAATTCAGATATCTGGAGGGTTAATACAACGTGTATGAAATATATTTCTTGAAAATGTCAGCTCACTTATATAACAGGCCTACGTTTTTTCTCAACATATATTTTAATTCAAGTTATTTCCTGATGCCTAATTATTTTGGCTCTTACATTTTAATATCATGCCTAGCTATTACAGGTGCTAAAACTGCAATATAGATAGAAGTGTTCCATACGTAGACTGCAATAAAGATAATAGCCTTTTATTTTCCCAAATAATGAACTATATTTATGAAAATCATAGGCAAGTTTGCTAACAAAAGGAATTTTGTGTTGACTGTATCACATTAAATACTGCATTGTTAGAAAGAAAATAAATCATATGTAGTTTCTTCCCTAACCCCACATTATAACCAGTCTCATAACCTCATACATACATATTTCTCCTTTCATAAGTGGTGTATAAATTCACTATTCTATATTCTGAGCTGTAATGGAGAAAAAAACTGTAGAGCTAGAAACAAGGTCACATTTTACTAATAGATTCCTGCTATAGAGATGGGGCTTTTGTAACATCTATAAATCATTTACTTAGAGCAGCCTCATATACAGTCCTAACTCAGTATTTTTTTCAGTCTTAGTAAAAAACTAAACCTCGATATAACTAAAAATTAGATCAGAAACAGACTCTATTTCGATCTTAACTAACTACTTTAATCAGAAATGTAACATGTGGAAGATGTCTCCTCACCTCATTAATAAATTAACTGATACCACTGTTACCTAGCATCCATTTCTCCTTTCCTAAGAGGACCCATATTTTTGTTTAAGTATACACCTCTTTCCCACTTAGCTTACTACTTTCAAGACAAGCTAATTCCATTTATGTCTGCATTAGGATATTTTTGGCTCAAGAAAATCATACCCCAATCAAATTAGCTTAAATAATAAAGGAGTTTTACAGGACCATGTAGCTGACATATCTCTGAGGCAAGGTCAGCATTTAGGGTGGGAACATGGAGGAAATGAACAAGGTAGCTCCTCCAAAACAGAAGCAAGCTCACTAAAGGACTCACCTCCAGGACAAGAAGTCCTCACTATATCTCTGGCTAGGGTTTGATATATTTACTGTGTGTTTACCATTGTGTTCTACTCTAGGTACGAGGTTGTATTATTTTTATCCTGTTCCTTCTCCATCATTATTTATTGAATATGAAGAAGGTAGATATCTATCCTAGGTTACCAGTTTGCAAGGAAATACCATGTTTCTCTGAAAATAAGACAGGGTCTTATATTTATTTTTCCTCAAGAAGACACCCTAGGGCTTATTTTCAGGGGATGTGTTATTTTTTTTAAGTATGGTACAACAATCTACATTTATTCAAATATAGTTCAGTTGTCTTCTTCTTCTGGAACATCATCATAACTCTCCAAACCTCGAATTCCATCCTGAATTTCTTGCAAGTCTATTTCCTTTAGAACCATTGGCCCCAATCTCTCATGTGGAGCAATAGAGCTCTCATGGGGCAGATGAGAAGGGCTATTTGTCTTCTTTACCACTCTGCAAAATGAATGAGTTGTGCAGATATGCTGTGTAGCCACGCCCAACACTAGGTTTTATTTTTGGGGTAGGGCTTATATTGTGCAAATGCTTAGAAATCCTGCTAGGGCTTATTTTATGAGTAGGTCTTATTTTCAGGGAAACACAGAGGTTCTCTCATAAAAGCTTTGTAAACTGTTAAGTTAAATTATATAGAATGAATGACAGCATAACTTGAATAGAAAACAACAGTGCCCACTTTTGTGCTTTGTAGAATTTACTTAGTGAAATCATCAGGAAATTATACGGTTCTAAATCTACAACAAATTTATCTTTAGAACCATATATTAGCTATCATTACTCAGGATAAATGACTAGAAAAATAGCAGACATAAAAAATACCTGTGGTGGTATCACCCCTCCACACATGACAAGAATATCTGGGCGTCCAAGGGAGTTAAGTTCTTTGATGAGTTCAGGAACGAGGGTTTTATGACCAGCAGCAAGCGTGCTCACACCCACAGCATGCACATCTGCGTCCACAGCCTGCTGGGCCACTTCACGAGGAGTCTAAATAGTCAGGAAGGAAAGAGACAAATCATCGTTTATTCCTAGGCAATAACTAAAAAAAAAAAAAAAAAAAAAATTGTTTTAAAAGTGTTATACTACCTAAATCAACATTCTAAGATTTTCCTCATTAGAAAAACCATCTTCAAGATAAAGAAGTAATACAGGGAAAACTATCTCACGTTATAATTTTTTTAAAAGTATATCTGTTATCTTCATTATCAAATTTATTGAGTGGTTTGTACAGTGAAAGGCAGCATGTTATAGTATCTATGAAAAATCAAAGACTACACCCAAATACAATGTAAAAAAGTAAATCTTAGGTTTTAAAATAGAATGGGGAAGAGTGATGTCAGCAAGATGGAGGACTAGGAAGGAAGCTCTAGATCCTTGTTCTCCCACAAAAATACCAAATTAACAGAAAAATATGGACCAAATTATCTTTGTAAAAACTCTAGAAACTAGTTAAGAGGCTACAGCACCCAAGTGAGCACAAAAACAAGAAAAGAGCACATAAAGAGCAAATCCTCCTCCTTTGAGGATGGATGTGCTGCTCATTTATTAACTAGATTTAACCAGTTTGGGATATAAAAATCATAAAATCATAAATTATAAGTATCAATTATCAATTAAGATATCCAAGATCATATCTACTTTCTATAATAATGAGTTTGTGACATTGCTTTGCTAATTACATGTATTTAAATAATTTCATAGAAAAGGTACAAGATTCTCATTGCAAATATACATTTATTTATTTATTAATAATTTTATTGAGACAAGCTCTCTTGCTCTATTGCCCAGGCTAAACTGCAGTGCTGTCACCATAGCTCACTGCTATGTAAGGGCGTGCACCCATAATACCAGGTACAGAGGCTGAGGCAGAAGGATCTCTTGAGCCCAGGACTTTGAGGTTGCTGAGCTAGGTTGATGCCATGGCACTCTAGCCCAGGTGACAGATGAGACTCTCATCTCAAAAACAAAAAAAAATTGCCAAACTTTTGTATTTGTAGCCAACCTATGGTTGCAATTCAATCATGATTTGACAAAATCGGACTACAGAAAAATGCTTAATTATAATCTGATTCAGTAAAGATGTCATTCATGTCATTGATGAATAAGTATAGTTTTGACATGGGTTGCCTGATATTTTTATTTACATTAGAGAGTAAGAAGAAAACTAAACAGATGTATATCAGAATTTCATTTGTTTATAAATGACATAAGTAACTTCTTTCTTAAATCATACAGTATTTTTTGAATACTGGAAGATTATTTCCTCAAATTTGGGGGTTCTTCCCAATGTAATGGCTATAGATATGATAAACTTTTAAAATTTAATTTCCATTATTTACATTTTCTTCATCATATTTATACATCTAGATAATCTAGAAAATAATAACTCAATGCTTAATTTTTAGTATTTGCTGATTTCTATGTTGTGAATACTCTAACCGTAGCCAATTTCAGTCTATCAATATGACATCACTGAATGCGAAGCAGGAAAAAGGTATACAAAAGCCACACAATTATATGGTATCTCCACCATATAGATGTAATAGATCAAAGCAACTTCAAGACCATAGATAATAATAATAGATAGTAAGATAAATAGGAAGTGATGAATTTTTAAGCACTTATTACCTTTGCTTTTAAGATAATTTATTCAGCAATGTTAATGGCATTGTGAAACAACCAGCTTTTGAAATTCTTAGAAATTTAATTCCTGGATGCCTCTCTATTTCTGGCTGATTCTGTTAATCCTGCCTACATAACTGTAAATAGCCACTTCATAAAATTTTCTTCAAACACCTAGCTGAGATTTGATTTCTGCTGAGACCCTGACATTACCTCAGTAAATTGTTTTTCATTGTTTCTCTTAATCAAGACTCCTTGCTTCTAGTCAAAGCTCTTCTTAATTCACTTCAGAAAGTGATTTTTCTAGAAAGTGAAAGGCACTGTGCTTCTATGAAAGGCACAGCTCAAACATAAGTTCCTAGGATGCTCAAAACAAGTGAGGTGCCCTTTTTGGCCATACCTTAATTATAACAGTAATTATCACATTCTGCTGTGATTACTAGTAAGCAAACCTCTCTCTGTTAGGAGACTGTAACCTCCCTAAGGACAAAATCATATCCTACTCAACTCAGAGCCTAGCATCTGGTAGATAATCAATAAATATGTAGTGGATAAAGCTTTTAATAGAAATTTATAATAATGTACTTTTCAGACAGATTTTTTTGTAGATTAATTAATGTCAGCCTTATTTATCTCCAACAAATTAGTTTCCTATTAGGGTCTAATATTGTGTGACTAAATAGAATACTAGAGAGTAAAAAAAGAGAAAACCTACTTATGAATTGAGCTTACTCTGATGTCTGATGTTCAAATTCCTTTTCAAAACATTTTCCATCAATCCCCTGTGGGCTATCTTTCCCACAAAATATTAGCGAATCTCACTAAAGAGCACAATTAAGATCCTTAAAAGTAATCTTCATAGTTTCAGAGGCCTAATAAAAGCTTTAGTTCTAAACTGACATTTACTTTTACAAAGTCTGAAACATGCATTATATTTTTTATATTTTAATTCTGTCATAATTAATTGGACCACATGCATTCAAACATAGAAAATTTGTTAAACATGTTATTCCTTCATAAATTTAAAAATATGGTGTATCGTCATTTTACTGTTTTTTCTGAATGTAAGTGACTTATGGCATACTTTTTGAAATTGCCCACAACAATTTTTAATACCTGAAAAAGAGGGCCTATGTCCACATCAAAACCAAGATCAGCAAATCCTGTAGCAATAACTTTTGCTCCTCTGTCATGGCCATCTTGTCCCATTTTTGCTACAAGGAGACGAGGTCTGCGACCTTCACGGTCCATGAATTTATGAACCCTGAGAGGCATTTTAAAATACAATGGTAGTTAAAATATTAATTGTCCAAAGGTAAGATATAAAAACTGTAATTTATTCACAGCAAATAATTCAAATTCTTTCAAAAATATCTAATCTGTTTAGTTTTATTTTGCTAATATTTCTATTTTACATTGAAAGCTCCATTAAAGCCTGAGTATGTTTACCATGTCCCCCTTAGAGGAAGTTGGAAAGATGGCACAGCCTATAAGGCACTTAACACTGAGAACATCACAGTGAAGTAAGATGAAAAGATGTCAACTTTCCACATATCTAAGCCAGGCAGTCTACAGAGTACAATATGTAGAAATATTTAAAGCTAAAAGGTGCCTTCAGGGTCATTTATACCTATGCATATATATGACCCCCACTAGCTGCTGTGAATTGTCCATATCTCATCTACCCTATACAAGTGGTACAAGTGTAAACTGTAACCAAGCTGACTGCAATATGGTTTCTTGTAGTGATGTATGATCAAAATGTTTGCAAATTTTACATTGACAAATTTACATCCAATATGAAAAAGTACTTATTTTTGTTAAAAGAGAACAATGTTCCATTCTGATGACTTTCATATTGGCTGTTTTTATATTTATCTAGTATATATGTACAGATGTAAATTTTTACCAGGATGTTTATCACAAAAATTGAGAAGATGATCACTAAAATGCCAGTTTTTATACTTGAGAAACATGATTACATTATTCTATATTTCCAATTCATGCTGTGGAAGTATTATTTATTATCAGTTCAATAAAGATAATTTTTTTTCAACACAAGAGTCTTGCTCTATAGCCTGGGCTAGAGTGCCATGGTGTCAGCCTATCTCACAGCAACCTCAAACTCCTGGGCTCAAGTGATTCTCCTGCCTCAGAATCCCAAGTAGCTGGAACTACATGCCTGCACCATTACCACAGGCTAATTTTTTCTACTTTTTCATTGTCTGGCTACTTTCTTTCTACTTTTAGTAGAGACAGGGTCTTTCTTTTGCTCAGGCTGGTCTCAAACTCCTGACTTCAAGTGATCCTCCCGCCTCGGCCTCCTAGAATGCTAAGATTGCAGTCATGAGCCACCACATCTGGCTGAAGACAAATTTTCGTTTATGCATAGATACCAACCAAATGTTTACTTTCAATTAGGAAAATTAAGATGTTATAATTATTCAAGCATTAAATAATGTAAACAAATTTAAAAGAACATGAAAGTCTACCATAGTAAGTAGATTGAAAATCTAAATACCTGGACAATATGAAGCAATTTCATTGTTAGTTAAACATCTGTCTGAAATAAGAAACTCCTAAAGGTAACTATGGTGAAAGTTCAAAATATTAATTTTATGAAAAATAATATTATTAGTTTTACTGTTTAACTTAATATTTATTACTGAGTAAATATATATAATTTAAATGATATAATATATAATTATATATATTTATAAATTATATTTTATAGGTTACATGTAATATATTATATATAATACAAATAATAATGAATATTAATTTACTATTTATTAGTTTTTTTAGAACTACAAACAGGAAAGTTGACTCAAATATTTTCTAAATTATATGTGAGAAAATTAAGCTCTCAGATAATTGTGTTAACAGAAAAGATGAAATTCTTGCATAAGAAATCTCACAGATTACCTTTTGATAGCAGATGTTATCTCTTTACTTTCTCCAAATTCCTGGCGATACGCTCCACTCACCATACGATCATTAGCTTTATGTTCACCAAATACCTTTTTCAGGGCATCTGTGATTTCTCCAACTGTACACCTAAAATATTAAATGGTGGTTCCATTAACATCATTATTTTGAGATAAAGATATTTGTTTACTTTAATATACAACACAATTGACATATTTTATTACCTAAATAAAAAAGAGGCTTTCAAAAATTTAAATAAGAATTTTTTTTAATGTATTATGAAAGCATTTTTCTTTCCTGAGAATACTTACAAAAAAGTCATTCTGGATGCCTTTATACATCCTAATCTCTTTTCAACATTTGTCAACCAAAAAATGACTGAATGGCCTAAAAACCATAAATAGACAATATCTAAAGATTACTAAATAATTCACCATATAACAATAAAAATGGATAAAGAGCAATACTTCCATTGATATTTTTGGATAAGAAGTAAATCTTTTAGCACATTCCATCCATTTGTTCATTAATTCATTCAACATTAACTGTGTGCCTAATATGTGCCAGGTATGTCCTAGGGTTATAGTGATAAATGACAGCAAAGACAAAGTGCTTGCTCTTATAGAACTTATCACCTAGTCAGGGATGCAGACAATATATAAGCAAATAAATAAATTAATAAGATAATTTCATATGATAATCAATACTGTAAAGACACTAAGACAGTCAAAGGTGGAATGGGGTGTCTGGGAGAGCTATGTTAAAATTATTAAAGATATAAAGACAGGAATTTTGAACTAAGACATAAATGATAATAAGGAGGAACTCAAGGGAACATAAACTGAAGCAGAGTTTGAAAAAGGAAACACTATATGCAAAGGAAAACATGTTTTGCATTCTAAAATCAAAGGAATGTCATTGGGGACACAGCATAATAAGGAGAGAGTCACATATAGTACATCCTGCAGGCCATGATGAGAGTAAGTTTTAATCTAAAAGGAATGGAGATCATTAGAAAATTTTAATCAGAAAATACATCTAATTTATTTTATAAAATTAAAACTGGAAAAAAATCCAACACACACTATGTACTCTCCTGCCTTAATCACTTAAAACAACATGTTTTTTAAAAAGTTCTTTATGTTAAGCTATATACACTTAAAAGCAAAAGCCATTTATTTAGTGACACTACCATATATTGGGGAAAATTTTTCCGTGGATCACTCGCTTTTCTGCATGTCTTGCAAAGCAAAGCACTAACTGCCCTTTTTTCTGGACTATCTTTTCAAAGATGTCTATATAATCAATAGTCTTGGAAGATAGAGATATTGGCGACCTTCACAGCAAATACTGTTTGCTTATTGTTCAGTAGAATAATGTCTCCCTTTAGAATAATGGGCAGGCATGCTTATTTATTACCCATTATAAAAGATCCAGAATCCCAAAGCTCAGATTTCCTCTACTGCAATGTAACTCAATCCACTGCAGATGAAGTATTATCATCTGGCCCTTTACACATTGTTCTGCAGGAACTACAGCTCAGAGAAACTAGCTCCAAAATTGCTGATATTCTGGCTACTACGATTACAGTAATGAACTGTCCTTTGGTTCTGACCCAGGGGTCTCATTTCTTCAACCAACATTCTATGAAACAGTACAGAATAATTTCTTAGCTTGCAAGAAGGGTAAAATTTCAGACCCCTTCTATTTCTTAATATAATAAATTTATTTACATATATTAATACATTTATGTATCATGTATAGTATAGCAAGATAATTTTATTAAATGCCATATTCTGTTCCCAGCACTAGTGTTAATGATTTAAAGTCTCTTCACAACAACCCTACTAGGTAGCATGTATAAAAAACTCCACCTTGCCATACTGTGCCTATGATAACATAGAAGCAGATATAGCATGTGATTAACTTCTGTTTTCTATTCAGCCTGTTCTTAAACGTAGGATGGCAAAGGTTATGAGTTACAAAGGCAAAAGGTTTCAAGAAGGAAGAAGTGATAATGTCAAGCACTGTAGAAAAGTCAAGATATGGCCTAAAAATTTCTATAATATCTGACAAAGAGGAGGTCATTGGTGAACTTAGTAAAACCAGTTATATTACAGTAGAAAATCAAATGTAATAGGCCAAAATGTCAACAGGAATTAAAACATTGAGAACAATTAAAAATTATTCTACTCTTAAAAGACTACATGGTTCTCACAAGGGAAGAAAGACTGGGATGGGGTTGGGGAAGTTGGCTGCTCTTCTGCTTGCTTCATGATTAAAAATAATTCAAAAGCAAAAGCATCACAAGTTTTTCCTATCAATTCTCAGATTAATGTCCCCCCACGCAAGGCCATTTTAACTGGTGAAATATCAAAATGATAGGCATAAGCCTGATGATATACTTGAGAGTACATCAATTTCAACCTGCAAATCAGTGAAATGAATTCATTACAACAGTTTTAAATGTTCTGAGCCATAGTGAAACACACAAGTATTAATATATTTCATTCAAAATATATGAATGCTTTAAATGCAGAGAAATTTTTAAAAAATACTTACATTTATTATGGTCACCATTATTTTCTTTTGGGCTCACATAGTTTATAGGATCAACCTTTTATTTAATTAAGTATACTGTGAAAAGCTAAACTGGTTAACGTTTAGTCTTTGGAAATCTCCAAACTTACATACCCTCACCTTGCACGAGCTGCATCCACTGCAAGACCCAGAATATTTCCGTCTCCACTGGCAGCACATTCAGTCAGTGCAGCAAGACATCGTTCTGCCAAAGCTTGATCCCTGCTAGATTTGATCTTATGGAAAAGGTCGAGGAAAGGGACAATTTACATGCACAGGGAGTAAAACAGAGATCAAGAGATTAGACCCACATATGTACCATATGGAAACTGTTCCAAAATCCTAACCTCAAAAATAAGAGGGAAAAAATGAAGAGAATAATATATAACCTAGGAATTTCATTCATGCAGGTCATTCATTCACTCAGGATTCCCTAAAATAACACTAAATTTGGTGTAACACTGACAAATTAGTAACAAGCAGGGCAATAATAGCAGCGACCTCCCCAAGTAGCACATACTGCTTAGGCTTTTCTGAAGTTGTAAGACATTGAAAATACATGGGTCTTTTATATGAAGTATTTTAAAGGAACACTAAAAATTAATAGTAACAAGAGAAAAAATAGATCAGAACTTAGAAAATATTTTAGTTATAATTTAAGTTTCCTTTAGCTAGATATACATAATATATTGGTAATAATATATGTACACTGTGATATGTACACTATGTAATATGTATGTACACTGCTGATCTTTTTATTTAAAAATAATCCCAAGATAACGAAAGACAGAGAGAAAGAGAAACTGAAAGACAATGAAAAGCATGGTAAAACACTTTGTCCCTAGGTCCTAACTCTAATCTGCCAACAATTCACCAAAACAAAGTTATCTAAATCCAATATTTTTACAAGTTATACCACCCGTGAGAGTCTAAAATATGAAACTGTTCAAGATGTCACTAAAATCATATTGTATCTATAAGCAGAGGTGAGACAGAAAATTTATACAGTCATTCCTTAGTTTTCATACATAATTGGTTCCAGGACCCCTCACAGATACTAAAATCCAGAAATGCTCAAGTTCCTTATATAAAATAACATAGCTAGTATTTGCATATAACCTATGTACATCCTCCCCAATACTTTAAATCCTCTCTATATAGCTTATAACACCTAATATAATGTAAATGCTGTGTAAATAGTGTTATGCTGTATTAAATATTTAGGTTGGTGCAAAAGCAATTGCAGTTGTAGCATTGTTGAAATTCGCTGTTTGATACTGGAATACATTGTAAAATAAATGTGATTATGTTATACATCATTTTAATGTGCATTTCTCGTTTTATGGGGTTTTTTTGCTAATGATTTATTATTTGCTGTTTATATTTGTTTTAGACTACAGAAATATAGAAAAAAAGCAAAATCGAGCAATTTTCTTTTCTTTTTTTTCCTTTTTCATAGAGATGAGGTCTTGCTTGTGCTTAGGCTGGTCTTGAACTACTGAGCTCAAGCTATCTTCCCGCCTCAGCCTCTCACAGTACTAGGATTAGACGTGAGCCACCACGCCCAGCCTCAAGCAATTTTATTAGAGTTCAAAATGGCTCATAAAGCAGCAAAGACAACTCACAACATCAACAACACATTTGACCCAAGAACTGCTAACAAACGTACAGTGCAGTGGTGGTTCAAGAAGTTTTACAAAGGAGATGATAGCCTTGAAGATGAGGAGCACAGTGGCTGGCCATTGGAAGTTGACAAAGAACAACTGAGAGCAATCTTCAAAGCTGATCCTCTTAAAATTGCATGAGAAGTTGCCAAAGAACTCAATGTGGACCATTCTAGGTCGTTAGACATTTGAAGCAAATTGGCAAGGTGAAAAAGCTCAATAAGTGGGTACCTCATAAGCTGACCAAAAATCAAAACAATTGTCATTTTGAAGTGTCATTTTTCTCTTTCTATGCACAATGGACCATTTCTCAATCAGATTGTGACATGCGATGAAAAGTATATTTTATACGACAACCAGTGATGACCACCTCAGTGGTTGGACCAAGAAGCTCCAAAGTACTACCCAAAGCCAAACTTGTACCAAAATAAATGTCATGGTCACTGTTTGGTGGTCTGCTGCTGGTCTGATCCATTACAGGTTTCTGAATCCCAGCAAAACCATTACATCTGAGAAGTATACTCAGCAAATCAATGAGATGCATCTAAAACTGCAATGCCTGCAGCCAGCACTGGTCAACAGAAAAGGCCCAATTCTTCTCCATGACAATGGCTGACTGCAAGTAGCACAAACAATGCTTCAAAAATTAAATGAATTGGGCTAGGAAGTTTTACCTCATCCGCCATATTCAACTGACCTCTCGTCATCCCATCATCACTTCTCAAGCATCTCCACAACTTTTTGCAGAGAAAACACTTCCACAACAGCAGGATGCAGAAAATGCTTTCCAAGAGTTTGTGGAATCCCAAAGCATGGGTTTTTAAGCTATAGGAACAAACAAACTTATTCTCGCTGGCAAAATTGTATTGATTGTAATGGTTCCCATTTGATTAATAAAGATGTGTTTGAACCTAGTTATAATGATTTAAAATTCAGTCTAAAACCACTATTACTTTTCCATCAACCTAAATAATAAGGAAAAAAAGTCTGTACATGTTCAGTATAGACACAACCGTTCTTTATTTTTTCCTGAATATTTTTTATCCTTTGTTAGTTGAATCTACAGACCTGGGACCCACAGATATGGAGGCCAACTATATTAGGGGCTGGAAAAACAGCCCAATTTCAGCTCCAAATTCTCTGTGAAAATGTCCATTTATGTTTACCTTATACAGTTGACTACATGCTTTGTGATCTAAATTTCTAATATAAGGGGAGACAATACAGTATAGTGTGGTGTTTCTTAAACAGTAAATCCTAATCCATGGTTAGTGATGTAGAATTAGTGGATTGTAATCAGCACTTTTAAAAAATTGAAATAGAATAGAAACTCAGTGCACTGAACATAGTTTGTATAAGCAGTTTTATGAAACTTTTTAGTTATGTGTGTTCACATACATGTGAATTTGTGTGTGTGCGTTTAGGTAGTACATCTCTTACTGTGAGTCATGGTCAAAAAAGTGGGGGGAGGGGGGAAGGGCATTTATTGAAACCTTAAAATCTGTATCCCCATAATATGCTGAAATAAAAAAAAAAAAAAAAGTTGGAAAAAACACCAGTATGGAGTTAAGAGCATGGGCACATGCCACACTTGAGTTCAAGTTCCGGTCTGACATTTGCTAACTGAATGGACATAAGAACATTATTTAATATCTCTCCATATTAGTCTCCTGTCAGATGGGATTGATGAAAAGAAAATGGTTCTTACCAGGATTAAATGAGAAAATGTGTAACTAAGGCAATTCCTGGCATAGTACAGGCACTCAGTAAATATTTTATAAAAGTAATAGTCATAAGAATGTAGAGTGTAAAAGTAACAAGATGTAGTGTCATGTAAAAATAACAAGAATGTAGAGTGTCATGATTTCAGAAAACAAGAACTTCTGCAAATATGATCTATATTAGTAGCCAGAATATTTATATGACTTAACAATTCAATTCTTAATGTGTATTTTTAGCAATTACGTTTTAAGACATAGGATTATTCCTGAATACACAGGATTCCAAGCTATACAATTCAAATAATAATTATCATTTATAAACATTTTCTAATTAAATTAGATACTGAGTATTAATTAAGCACCTATTAATGCCGGCATTGTTCTAATCATGAGGATATAGCAATAAACTAAACAAAGTCTATGCCCTCATGGACTTTACATTTTATTGGAGAGAGATAGAAAGAAACAATAAATAAACACATAAACAAATAAATATATAATTTAATAAAAAACTGAGTAAATAAGAATTGACTGGGGCAGCAGGGTAGCATGCTATTATAGATATGGATCTCTATAAACTTCTTAGATAAAATGACATTTGAGCAATGACCTGAAAAGTACACCTTTTCTGGTTTACTAAAAAACTAGTCCTCTTAGATTAGGTTGTTTGCTATAAGTACATGAACAACAGATTACTAAAATTCATGGAGTGAAAATAAAAGCTAAAATTAACTCCAGCTCATGTTGTAGAAAAACAATTTAATATAAAACTACTGTTGAGGTTGTTCAGTTTGAAAATAAGTGTTAACACTACAAGTAAAAATACTGTTATATCCATCTGTAGAAGGGAAGCATGAGAAAATATAAACTTCAGTCCAGTGGCAAAAAGAATTAAAAGTACTATAGCAGAAATACATTTAGCTATAAAAACATCTCTTGATTTTAGCTATGGTGAAAGTTAATTCTTATAATAGAAGAACTTGATTTGGTCATGGTTCTAAGAAGGTTTAAAATTAGGAAAACATTATAGGAGAGCATCCACTTCTCCTAAATTGGCACTAGAGTCGAGAAAGCTTCATTCAAATCCCAGCTCTCCCAGCTATAGTTTAAACTTGAGTAACTAAATGAGACTGGCTAATCATGAGTTCCCTATCTGTAATGGAAATAAAAATAGTAACTACCTTTTAAATAAAATAATACCCAAAAACAATAATTCAAGAAAAGCACTTAGCACAGTGTGTGGTACATAGTAAGTATTCAATAAATATTAACTACTATTCCTATATTGTTGAAAATTACTGAATTTTTCTCTTTTGTCCAAAATAAAGTTTATCATCACTTATAATAAATGGAACACCTCAAAATTTGAGGGTATAAAGTTAATAAGAATCTAAACTACGAGAGAGGAGAAAGAGGTTTTCCAAATATAATAAATACTGAGACTTTTATGATCACTGAAAATAAAATGCTACATGCAAAATAGAGCCTTTTAAAAAATGATAAAATGTAATAGATGAGCGATTATCATTTCTGATTAGACTGGCAGTAAAAAAAAAATAACATCATTAAACATCTACCATTCATTCTAATGGGAAGAAATATTGAAGATGATGGTCATGTCTTCCATCTAACTGGATAAAGTCTATTAGATTTTTATAGAATATTTGTACTAAGGAGAAAAAAGTAGTATCTTAAACAATCACAGGAAAAGTGAATAGACAGCAGTCATTGAGTTTTTAAGTTTCCTGCCTTGGAAATAGTAGCAATTATAAAAGCCAAAGATTAGTAGGCCAAAGTAGCTTCATACAACAGAAATATATAGATTACAACAGTGACAATTAATATGGTTTATCTATTTTAGTATTTCATATACTTTGTTTCATCTTAGTGAGAAACTAAAAAAAAAAAAGACACATAGCATTCCAATTTCAATCAAAATAAAGTTCATGGAAGGAGGATCAAGATGGCGGACGAGAAACACCGCCAGAAAGAGTATCTCTGCAGAAAAGACAGATTCTAGCAGAAATTAGAAAAAAGAAGCAAGAAGGCGAGCATAGAGCAGACGAGGGCCAGAAGGAGGGGTACCCGAGACACCGGGAGACTCCACGGGAGGAGGCTTCGGAGCAGAACTGGAAGCTGAGATTAGCCGGAGCAGACGCGAGACACGGGGAAGGGTAGGTGGATAAAACACCTTCCCCTCCCCTTGCTTTGGGATGGCTGGTGGCTCCCCAATGGGTAGAGAGACCTGCGGACACCAGCCCAGAGACAGCCCTGCAGCTAGCGTGAGCCTGTAGCGGACATGGCACCAGATCCCAATCCCTGTGCACCTCGTGTACACAGACCCAGAGCCGCAGGCAGGCACCATTTTCCTCTTCTCTCCTCTCGACCCTTACCGGCGTGCCCAGAGGACATACAGCACCAGCCAGAGGCACCTCCAGGGAAGGACCTTCCCTTTTGGGACCCTACGGCTGACTAAGGGAACTCAGACTGTGAGCTCCCTACCGCCAGCCCTACCAGGTGCTGCTGGCACGTGTTCCCAGGAGAACGGTGATGACTCAGAGGCCTGAGAACACAGAACAGCTTCGGCTCCTGAGTTGCCTCCAGGGGCATGATCAGCATCTAGAGGGCAACCCTCCCAAAGGGAGGCCATGCGCCCAGCCCAGGCAGCGTTCTGCACAGGAACTGCCCAGACATCACAATACGGGGATGGCCTGGATTGTGTGGTCTGGACTGCTGACAGAGCCAGAATAGCTGCGAGTTGGGAGTGGTGGAAAGAAGCGAGGCCTACTCCAGACTCGGGTCTCAGACATCCCCACCCCCAAAGCAGACTTTCTGGCTGAGCGGACCATTCCAGTCTGTGCTGACAGTCTTTCTGGAAGGCGAGAACAGAACTTTGACCCCTGTTATGCATTGGTGGTGCTGAGGGGCTTACCAACCCAGCTCCGCCCAGAAACAAGAGCTGATTAAGGACACAAAAACAACAGTAGCCTGTTCCTCCAAGCAAGCGCCACTACTGACAGGGACGGCACTTGCACACCTTATCACAGCACCCACTGACTCATTATAAAGGGAGTGTGATCTCACCACACACCCACCATCCTAACGGCTCTAGAAATAAACAAGTGTGTGAATATCCAAAAAACCTAAAGGAATATACAACAACTGATCGACAATGGGAGAAATCAGCGAAGGAATCAGGAAATATGATAGAACCAACGAAAAACACACCCAAAGAGGAGCACCAGCCCTCGAAACAGACACCAACAAATCAGGCAACAAAATGACAGAAAGATATTTATGGTTTTCTATAAAACACTCACTGACCGCAACAACAATTAATAACCAACACAAGAAACCACAAAAGCTCCAGGATCTGGAAAAGAAATGGACACAATGAAGAAAACTTTTACCATCCTGGATAAATGAAAATCAATTCAGGGAACTACAAATTACAGTGGAGTCTCAAACAGGTGTCAAACAGAAGAAAGAATCTCAGAGCTTGAAAATAACACCCTCCAACTAAATAAAACATCACAGAGATAGAGCAGAAAAACAGAGAAAAGAGCAAAGTCTACAAGAATGTGGGATTATGTGAAGAACCTAATAGGAGGGTCATAGGTTACCAGAAGGGATAGAGACAACACCCAAGGTTGGACAAGCTATTGAAGATATAATAGAGGAAAATTTCCCAGCCTTGCTCAAAATCTCGATATACAAGTTCAAGAAGCTCAGAGGACCCCTGGAGATTCAATGCAAACAGGAATACGTCTACAACATGCAGTCATCAGACTGACAAAATATCGACTAACGAGGCCTTCTAAGTGTTAAGATGAAAGAAGCAAGTGACATACAAGGAAAGCCAATTCGAATAACACCAGACTCTCTTAATGATGAACTTTACAAGCAGGAGAGACTGGTGGCCCCATTCTCACTCTTCTGAAACAAAACAATGCCCAGCCTAGAATCTTATTCCCTGCAAAAACTAAGTTTCATATATGAAGGAAATATAAGACATTCTCAGACAAGCAAAGGCTCAGAGAATTCACCAAGACAAGACCAGCCTACAAGAAGTACTCAAAACAGTGCTACGCACTGAACACCATAATAAAAACTACAATATAAAAACAACCAAAACCCAAAGATTAAGCCAGATATTACATGGCTCAAGAGAAGAAATAATGCAACAACATCCAACCAAGAGATGAACAGTAATCTACCTTACCTATCAGTTCTCTCAATAAATGTGAATGGCTAAACTCTCATCAGAACATAGGCTGGCTGAATGGATAAGAAAATATAGGCCAAGTCTATGCTGTCTTCAGGAAAAAACATCTACCTGCAAGGATGCATATAGACTAAAAGTAAAAGGGTGGAGATCAGTATTCCAGGCAGTGGAAGCCAAAAGAAGGCTGGCGTGGCAGTTCTAATTCAGATGATTTAGTTTTTAAACCAACAAAATAGTGAAAGACAAAGAGGGTCATTATATAATTGGTAAGGGACACTTCAACAAGAAGAGATAACAATTTAAATATATATGCACCCAACTTAGGTGCACCCAGTTTCATAAGCAAACCTTACTGGATCTAAGCAAAAGGATTAATAGCAACTCCATAATCACCGGAGATTTAACACTACTGACGCACAAGCAGATCCTCCAACAGAAAATTAATAAAGAAATAATGGACTTAAACAAAACCCTGGAACACTGGGCTGACTGACATCTACAGGACATTCTACCCAATCCACTGAATATACGTTTTTCTATCACTCACGGGACATTCTCTAAGATTGACCATATTTTAGGATTTACACAAAGTAAATCTCAAGAAATTTTAAAAAATAGAAATCATACTGTACCTTCTCAGATCTCAGTGGATATAAGTAGAAATCAACCCTAACAGAAACTCATTTCTACACAAAAACGTGAAATTAAACAACTCCTACTAAATGATTACTTCATAAATGAAGAAATCAAGATGGAAATAAAAAAATTCTATACTCCTACACTGCTGGTGGGACTTCAAATTAGTTCAACCTCCGTGGAAAGCAATATGGAGATACCTTAAAGCGATACAAGTGAATCTACCATTTGATCCAGCAATCCCATTGCTGGGCATCTACCCAAAAGATCAATGACACTCTACAAAAAAGACACCTGCACTCGAATGTTTATAGCAGCACAATTCATAATTGCAAGGCTGTGGAAACAGCCCAAGTGCCCATCAATCCAAGAATGGATTAATAAAATGTGGTATATGTATACCATGGAGTACTATTCAGCTCTAAGAAACAATGGTGATATAGCACATCTCATATTTTCCTGGTTAGAGCTTGAACCCATACTATTAAGTGAAGTTTCCCAAGAATGGAAAACAAGCACCACATATACTCACCAGCAATTGGTATTAACTGAACAGCACCTAAGTGGTCACATAGGTACTGCAGTAATAGGGTATTGGGCAGGGGAGGGGGCGGGTATATACATACATAATGAGTGAGATGTGCACCATCTGTGAGATGGTCATGCTGGAGACTCAGACTTGTGGGGGGGAGGGGGGACTGGGCATTTATTGAAACCTTAAAATCTGTACCCCCATAATATGCCGAAATAAAAAAAAAAAGAAGTAAAAAAAAAACAATAATAAAGTTCATTATAAACTGTAGCTTCCTAAAACACTACCAAATATATTTAAATTTAAAACATTAAAAAACAAATAATACTTTCATATAGTATCAGGCACCATGGTCCAGTGGAAAGAAATTATAACGGAGAGAGCCCTGGTTCAAATACGAACTCTAAACTTTATTCTGTTTTTAACGTTGATTGAGTTACATAATCATCTAAACCTTAGTTCTAATCTATAAATTATAGAAGGTACTATTACTGTGGTATGGTTTTTAATAACAACAAGTTTCACAGATGCAAATATCATGATTTGAAATAGGAGTTTTTGTCATCAACAGACCCAGATTGAGTCCTGGCTGTCCAATTATTTATCCCAAGCAAGTTTCTCAATGTCTTATATTTGAAATGATGAAAAATAATACCCACCTCATGTGGTTGTTTTAAGGATTAAGTATGACAATTTAAGGGCTTAGCCAGTGTCCAGAAAACATAAAATACTAAAAAAAAAGAAATAGCTATTAATACCTTCTCAAGTTTTTCAATCTGCTTGTTACGCACTGAAGTATTATCAATCGCCAGAACCTCCACAGAATCTTCTTTTTCCAACTGATACTTATTTACTCCAACAATTACTTCAGAACCTATTAATTTCCCAAAGGAAAATAAAATGAAGATTCTGTTCAAATAATTGCCTAATAGTAATCCTCTGATTATCACATATTTTCCTTGTAAGTTTAATATTTTTAAGTAGTATTCTTAACTTTTAATGAAAATTAAGTATAGATCAGTAAATCCAAATCTGGGATAGCGGTACGAGGGGAAAGAACAAGTATTAATCAAAGTCTCTATAAAAAAGGACTTTTATTATTTTTCCAAACTATACACTTTCCCCAGAGTTTCTGACAAAAGTTTCTAACACTACAAAATAAAAATAATCACAGCAGTTACCATCTAAGATTTATAAGGTAGATAATTAATGCTCAGTAGCTTTTCTAATATTTTCTTGAATTCTTTTACAGACAATTGCTTTAAAAAAAAACTTCAAAATCTATAAGCAATAAATCAAAATTAAAAAGATACTTCCTTACATAATAAAGAATATATTAGTTTACCTCAAATGATTATTACTCTTATCTAAAATCATCCCACCACCCCTATCCCAGGTTATATTCCTTCTTATTTCTTTCATAGCACTCATCACAATCTGTAATATTTTATTTGCTTACTTGTTCATTTTTATCTCTTTCACTAGAATGTAAGCTCTATGGGAAAAGAGACTATGACTGTCCTGTTTACAGTTGCATGTTCAAACATAGCAAGTGTCTCAAACACAATAGACTAAAAAAAGTGTTCATCAATTAATGAATACTCCAATGCAGAGTACAATGACCATCAATAGTGTCATCTTCAAAATGTCAGTGATAACCACCTACAAACACGTACATGTACTATATATAATGGTCATACATCCGTACACTTTGTACACATGCTTGCCTGTGTGTGTATGCATGTTTGCGAAAATCCAAATATATATATATATACATATATAAACATGAAAAAAATTTTATCCAAATTTCATTTTTTTCATTATTTTTGTTTTATTAATTATATATATTATCCTCAAACAGAAATTATTATTTCTTTTTAAATACGGAATTCCCTATATAAACTTTTTCACTTTATCTTACCAGAATCTATTCTAGCTTGTCTTCGGGCAGCACATTCTTCAATTCGAAGTTTAGGTATTCCTTCAGCTACAGCTTTGGCCATTCCACCCATTTCTTCAATTTCATTAATGAGCTAATAAGAAAAATATTAATAAAACTAAAAGAGAATACAGAAAATTTTTATATACTATACAAATTTGTTATGAGTGCTATGTAATTACTAATATTAAAGAAATTATAAACTGAATGTGAATATTTCATAAGAAATGAATTAAGTAAACATCAAGGGTATTAATTAGAATTTATGTGTTTAAAATTATTTGAAAAGACAATAGAAAAATTAACAAGTATATTCTGGAAACACAAAATCTCTCACTCAAGTCAGGAGAAAACTAAAGATAATATCAATTCTCTGTTTTTGGCTACATAAATAAAGTTTTCATAGTTACACAACTACAGACGCTTTAAGAAAAATGTATTTCAAAATGCAATTACTTTTGATTTGAGCAGTGAAGAAATGACATAACTTCATCTTTAATGAAACCAGAAAACATTTAAATCACAGCTTCATATAAAAACAAAAATAGATGGTGGAATGGTATATGACTTATCAGAAAGGATCAAATTCACACTTGCTTCTCCCTGAAGAATAATTCGTATTTGATGCTACAGAAGACAAGAATAAGATGGGAAGCTAAAAAGAGGGAGACTACTTGAGAGTCTGGAACTACCTCTCTTCCATTCTGTCAGTAGAACCAAAGTTTACTTTCTACAGAAAATGAACTGGAGAGGAAGTGAACTATAAAACACTAAGTACAGACAAAGGCAAGGGAAAGATGTCTTAATGAAATAAAAGCCAATATTCAGAACGATATGACTAAAAGACAAAAAGCAAACAGAGAAAATAAAGACAATGTAGGATACACAAGAAAATTTCAAAAAATATCATTAATATCCTCAGAATAAGAAGAGATTCTACATTAATGAAACAAATTAATATAACATACAGTATAAGGGGAAAAGTAGAAAACAAAAATGAGCTCTTACAAATTAAAAATATGACATATGAATGTTAAAATATTTAGTAGAAAGACAAAGTTTACAAATCTTCAAGAAAACAGAACAAAAAGGCGAAGAGATGAATCACAGAAAAGATAAGAACATCGGTGTATTATTCAAGAAGGTCCAATAGCTTATGACTAGGAGTTCTAGAAAGAGAAACCACAGAAAAATGGCAGGAAGATATTATCAAAGAAATAATATAAAAAAATTTCCCAGAGCTATAAAAATATAAAAAAGGTACAAGACAAAAAAGGCCCATTACAGATTCTGCAAAATGTAGGAAAAAATACACATACCAAGTTATACATCTTTCTGATGCTTTCAGAAAGAAAGATCCAGAATGAGAATAGCATCAAATTTCTAACCATAATATTAAAAGCCAGAATAAAAATCCAGAATAAAAACAGATCAGTGCTTACAAAGTTGCTTATGAATTCCTGAATGGGAATAATTTTAAACCTAGTCAGACTATCAATCAAATACAAAATAGAATAAAGTATTTTCAAGCAGGCAAAGTTTCAAGTAATTTCTTTCTTATGCACCATTTTTCCAGTAGGTTGGCATGCAATATACCTCAAAATAGCCAAGAGATAGTCATGGGATTCAGTATTCAGAATTCAACATAGGAGAGGTGAAAACACAGTCCCAGGATAATGGTAAACAGAAGTCAAAGAACAGCAATGGTCAGCAGAACTAGAGACAGAACAGTTTAAAGCAAATGAGAACATTAGAGGACTTCAGGAAAGATTATATTGAGAAATGATTATATTGGCAGTAAAGGAGGAGGGAAAGAAGGAGTATGAATCAGCTAAACTCTAAACTACCATGCAAGGAAAGCAATAGATAATGTCCAAGGTCAAATGTCTTAAATTGATGGAATTAGAAGAGACAGTATAGATGTAGAGCTTTAAACCATGTAGATAAAAACAAAAATAAACAAAAAAAGAAATATGTAGCTTACTTATTCCAGGACACAGGAAAAAGCAAGTGGAAGACAAAAAAATTGATGTCTTTGCATAAGCTTTTAAACAGTGGTTACCTGTTTAACTCTTTGAATAAAATAATAGCAATACAAATGTATTTTTAAATTAAGTTTCAGTTGTGAAAACTATAAAATCAAATTTAAATTTCTTTTCTCTTTAATAAATCTTTATATCAATGTACAAATGATTTATAAATTCAAAAATCTATAAATCTTGATTTATAATTTTATAAATCTTTATAAACCTGTAAATCTTGAAAGCAAAGTTGCAAAGAGGAAAAACTAACCTTCAAGGCAGCATCATAAACATCATTTGTGAGAGATTCCATCATATATGAACCTCCCCAAGGATCAGCCACTTTAGGAATCCCAGATTCTTCTTGAATGATGATTTGTGTGTTCCTGGCAATTCGAGCACTTTTCACAGTAGGCAAACCCAAAGCTTCATCAAAAGAATTTGTGTGCAAAGACTGAGTCCCTCCAAACACTGCTGCCATTGCTTCTATTGCAGTACGCACAATGTTATTGTAAGGATCCTAAAACACGTATTTATAAAAAAACAAAATAAGGAAACTGGTGATAGACATTGCAGCTATAAAAGACAATATGATCAAACACAATTGCTGCATATTTTCTATACCAATGTCCACATTAGACTTCAGAATATCAAATAAACTTAGACAAATTAGTGAACAAGCCAGATATGGAATTAAGAGCCAAAGTGTCTACTCTGTGCTTAGGCATTAAAACATTGTCTCTTATAATCTTTTGAAATATCAAATATTTGCTGTGTTTACTTTTATATTGCCTAAATACTTTTCTATAGGTATATCAAGAATATATACTTTTCTATTTTAATTATATAATCCTTCATCTCATAATTCACTATCTCCTAAGTATTTTATATACCTCAAAGTATCCACCACAATGACATAAACAAAACAAGCACTCAATAAATGATTAATAAAGAGATAAACAATGGATTATAATACAGGAAATCTGAGTTCTAATTTATTGTATTCCTAATTGTAATCTGGGCAAGTCATTGGACCTCTCTGAACTTCAATTTCCTTAGCTGTAAAAATAAGCAGGTTAAGACAAAAATGATTTTTAAAGTTCCTTCCAATCCTCAAAATCTCTATTTCTCTAATTATAAGGACCTAAAGTTATATTTCATATGGAGAATATTAGTTGTTATTTACTTTTAAATGTATAAAAGCAATGTATAACTTTATACATATGAATTATATGTATCAAAATAATATGTAAGGAGAATGTGTAAAAAGATCACCACACAATTTTTAATGGAATAAAATTAAATTACCTAAGTGATAATAGTCTTTAAACAATCTGTTTGCTTTTATGCTTATTAAACATATAACTTTAATAAATAAAATATGTGTGTATGTATAAAATCAAATTTTAATTAAGCAATTCTATGCTAAGAATTCTAACTCTTAAAGTTATATGAGAGTATTGTTATGACATTTACTTCTTCCTCATAATCAAATTTTATTTACTTTTAAAAAAGTAGGCCAGGTGCAGTAGCTCATGCCTGTAATCCTAGCACTCTGGGAGCTGAGGCAGGAGGATCGCTTCAGCCAAGGAGTTCAAGATCAGCCTGAGCAACAGTGAGACCCCATCTCTACTAAAAATAGAAAAATAAGTGAAGCATGGTGGTTTACAGGTGGACTACACACCTGTAGTCCCAGCTACTCAAGAGGTTGAGGCAGAGGGATCACTTAAGACCAGGAGTCTGAGGTTGCTGTGAGCTATGATGCCGCCACAGCACTCTACTCAGGGTAAGGGAATAAGACTCTGTCTCAATGAATCAATCAAGCAACCAAGAAATAAATAAAAATTAAAAAGTAAACAGCACTACTTGCAAGATGTAAAATGATTTTACATTGTTAACCACTAGAGGGAGCTAATCCCATTTATCATAATATGTGTAAATATAATACAAACCCAAGTGTGTATTGTTTCAGAATGTTCATGATTTTCAAATATTAGCAGATACCTTCTTAAATCCAATTCCTAATTATGCCATGTTTCTTAAAAGAAAATATATGACTTTATTAAAATTTTATATTTTAAATTATATACACACCTGCTCAGTAAGTGACCATCCTGATGTCTGACAATGTGCTCTTAGAAGAAGAGATTTAGAGTTTTTAGGCTGAAACATTTTCTCTATTAAGTGAGCCCAGAGTCTTCTCCCAGCTCTCATCTTTGCTATTTCCATATAGAAGTTCATCCCAATTCCCCAGAAGAAAGACAACCTAAAGTAATAACGTTAAGTCCAGAATTTAATTAAACTTAACAATATAAAACAAAAAAAAAGCTAATTGTATCACACACTAGATAGAAAATCAATGTCCAGATTTTAATTCCAAACAACTTAATCTGAATTAAAATCAATACACATATTTATGTGATTTTAAACCTAACAAATTAAATTTTATGCATGTGGAAGAAACAGCTGTGATTATTTGCTTCAGGTAAGAATGATTCACTTTGCAATAGGTTTCCTTTAGAAAAGAATCTCATCTGTGTCTTTAATTAAATAAAGATTCAATTTCTAACAAGAAAAATATTTTAGGAATACCTAATATGTAAAGCAGGGGATGCCTACAAAGTGAATAAAATGAGAAACTTGCTTTGTTTAAATAGCAAGAAAGTTTGTTTTTTTTTAAAGAATGATTGTGTATTTGGTCTAGGCATATATTTCTCCAATTTGTCCCTAACCTCCACTATTCCCTTTTATCTTATATTCTATGGCTGATTTACACATTTAGGTTATTTCCATGCTTCAAACGGCACAAAGGTTGTGAATCCCTATATAAAACAAGGTGAACTTTAAGAAACCAAAACTTAAAAAAAATTCCTGATGTATGCTTGGAAGAAGTTCTTAAATAGTAGCTCTCAAATATATTGATCTCAAGATCCACTTTTACTCTTAAAAATTACTGAAATTCCCCCCAAATTTTCTTTATTTGGATAATATTAATCAATATTTTAGTTACTAGTTCATTTAAAAATAACAATAAACTTACAACATGTTAACATAAGTAATATTTCTTATAAAGAACTATACTTCTTCAATCTCAAAATCCTGGCAAAAAGAGTCATTGTTTTATATTTTTGCAGATCTCTATAATATGTGATTTACGAGAAGAAAGTTGCACTCTCATGTCTGTTTCTGAAATCTATCGCAATATCACATATCATGTAGCTTCTGGAAAACACCACTCTAAACTCTTCGGAAAATGAAAGTTAAAAAGGCAAATAAGTTTTAATATAATCATGAAAACAGTTTTGACCTCAAAAACTCAGAAAGGGTCTTAGCAATATCCAAGAATTCTTGGACTACACTTTGAGAACTACTGTAACAACAATTAGAAAAGATCCCTGGCATAAAGGAGCATTCTCTAGTCTATACACACTCTGAAGACAGAAGCCATGTTATCTCCATGTAGTTTTTGCCAGCATATAGGCAAGTGCATGGCCCAGAGCAAAGCTCACTAAGTGACTGCTGAACTAACTGAACTAATGATTGATTTTTTTATCACCAAATTTAAATACTTCATAAATTTCATTTAAGTTTTTACATATTTTTCATACTTTATTAACAAGCTGTTATGAAATAAAATGTTTTCAATAGCACTGTGCATCCCAAAACATTTACATTATATACATGAAACAGAAAAAAATAAAACATAATAGATGGCTTTCATATTTTAGTGGAAAAATTAAAATAAAAGTAAAATTGTCTTGACATTATGTTTGCATTTTAATATAATTTGTTAAAATGTGCAAGTTAATTGTGTTGTTCAAATAGGTGGAGACAAGATATTCCTCTAATTTACAAAGAAGTATGGCCAAGTTTAATTCTGATTTTTTATTATAAATAGTTTTAGTTTATTCTCATTACCACTCAGATAAAACATAAGAAAATTTAAACTAACATTTATATTTACAAATTCATTTTACCAATATAATTTGCTGTTCATTCATAAAATGGCCCTATGCATTGTCTTAATGTTGAAACAATATCTAAGTTTAATTTACTCACCGTGGTGCAAATTCATCAATTGTCAGGCCAGCTTGGAGTCCAGTTCTAGAGTACTCTAATCCATCGGCTATAGTGTAGGCCAGTTCCAGAATGGCATCTGCCCCTGCTTCTTGCATATGGTATCCACTAATTGAAATTGAATTAAATTTTGGCATGTACTACATAAAATAAAAATTATAATAGTTAATAAATAAAAGTATTAAAAGGTTCCATTAAACACATTTTCTAAAAGCAAATATTATTTTAAAATCATCTTCAACTCAAATATATTCGGTAGTTTATAATGTTAACTGAAAATATTTAATGCCTATTTGTTGTATATAATTGACTCTCCAATTTAAATGGTTGGTTCATGAACTATCATCAAAAGAATTTACACTAACTATCCTTCTAAACGTTTAAACTTTGAATTAGCTACCTGAGATTAGAATGTAAACTTTGGCCTGAGAACTAAATGAAGACATTTTTAATTCCAAACCAATGACTGATCTCTCACGAGATTATTAGACCTTGTAACTTTGGATTAATCTGCTAAAAATGTATCAATTTAATATTATTTACTAGTTATTAATCTTCTTATTTGAATAAAGGCATCAAGCCTGAATAAGCACATAAAGGATAAAAAAGAAAATGTTTTGATCCTTAGTATTAATACTATAGATTGAAACAAAATGGGACAAAATGTATGGCTTAAAAACCAAAAATGTAACCTGATTTACTGTGACATTTAATGCTAAACATATCCCAGACAGGTTCTTTCTATCACAACCACTAAGAAAACTGCATTTCAACTATTTTCCTAAAATTTCATGTTAGGTAGAGTACAAATCACACATATCCTGCAGAGCCAAAACATTATTATCTTTCCCAAGAGTTAACCAAACATAAAATAATAAAAACTAAATCACAGAAACTCAGAACAGTGGTTAAGAGCATGGGCTCTATATTCCGAGTGCTCAGAATTCTAGCTGTATCATTTATCTAGCTATGAGACTGTAGGCAAGTTTCTCAACCTTGCTATTATTCCTTTGTTTTCTAATCTACAAAATAGAGATAATAATTGTACCTTCCTCATAGAAGTTATAGGATTAAATGAAATGACTCATTTAAATCACTTAGTATTATGCAGGACATAGTGTTGTTATTAATGTATGGTATGAATTAAATAGACCATATATACATATACCATACATATATCATAGATGGTATATACATATATACTATATATACCATATATAATATATATACCATATATCCAAAATATAGATATATATTTCATATTTACAAATATTTTATTTATAACCAAAAGCCCTTAAAAAATGTTCCAACACAAAATCAATAAAGGGATTGAATCACATGGAATTGACAGACTACTTGAGTATGTTTAGAGTTTACAAATAAAAATCAAGAACACAAATAGGTGCTTTTCTATGGAGAAAAGTTTATGAGAAAATTTTAAGAATAAAAATAGCAGAATATTAGAATATTATTCAACTTGAAAAAGAAAAGAAATTCTGACACATGTTACAACATGGATGAACCTTGAGGACATTACGCTAAGTGAAATAGTACAGCCACAAAAAGACAAATACTGTATGACTTCACTTGATGTGAGTTACCTAAAGTAGTCAAAGTCATAGAAACAGAAAGTAGAATGGTGGTTGCCAGGGGCTGGGGAGAGGGGGAAATAGAGAATTAGTGTTTAATGGGTTCAGAGTTTCAGTTGGGGAGGATGAAAAAGTTCTGGAGATGGATGGTGGTGGTGATAGTTGCATGACAATGTCAATATCCTTAGTATCACTGAATTGTACATATAAAAATTAAGATGGTAATTTCATGTTATGTATATTTTGCCACAATTAATTTTTTTAAAAATACAAAAGTTCACAGTTTACAAAGTACTTCAATGTAACATTTTTTTATCAGTATCTGAAATTGACATTTCATCATCTTACATGAAAGATTATATAAAGCAATTTTGAACTTAGGGGTGACATTAAGATCTTTCATAAGGTGAAATTCCCAAGTGTATACTACCTACTCCAATAACCATTCTCCTCCCTTCTCCTGTAATAGATGAACCATAAATTCAGAATGCCAATGAGCAAGGATTACATTTCTAATCTCTTACTGCTACGCATGTCCATTGACACATAAGCAGGAGTTCAGTGTGTTCCTTTTGGAAGCTCACTTTAAATAAAAGGAGCTAAGCCTCTCTCCCTCTACCATACACTTGCCCACCCCACTTTCTTAACCATGAGGTGACACACTACCAATAGAGAAGCAAAATAAAACGAGTCTAGTCCATGAAGATTCCATAAAAGTAAGTCCCTAACAGCCTCCCTTCTGATCTCTTGTATTTTATTTTATTTTTTTATTTTCGTCAATGTGTGATCTGAGCAATGATCTCTTTTAGATGAAAGAGAATTGACTCCTATTTAGTTTAAGCTACTACTATTTGTATATGTTTGTTTGTCATATGCTGCTAAACAAAATCTTCCAGTGCATATGTCCTTTAAATCTAAAAAGGTGACAGGAATATACAACTTTATGCAATCAAACTCACATGGGCAGATGGAATATATGAGAATAAAATTGCAAAGTGCAAAGGCTAAATATCAAATGAGGAGTATGGGCAATGCTTGCTAGAGTTCTGTGATGATAGAAATTACAAGGGGTGGATAAGACGAGATTTCCCCTTTGCCATGAAACAGTGGTTTAAGGTAAGTAAGTAGAAGGAGACCATCACTAGCAAGAAGCAAAATGTGAATAATGGGGGGAAATATATATGAATTGCTCAAAAAAAAAAGATGAAGGAAAATGAATGAGAAGGACAATGTTTCATTGTGGAGGTACTGCTACTACTGTAAGAACACTATCGGGAACTTCTTTTCTCACCACTCTGAGGAAGATGAATCAAATTGAGGAGGGAATATTAGGAACCTCATTGAGGTTGCACATATGAGTGATATATTCCAATCCAGCTTTAAGCAGAAATGAAGCTGACATTCTTATCCCTGTCTGTCTGACACCAGTGTCTACTTCCCAACTGCACCTAAATTCTGGAGGGAAATAAAGAAATGTAAATTATGATACCTCCCTGATTCTAATAATTATCAGAGATTTAAATTTTAATAAAGAAATACATTAAAGGTCTACTTCCCAGATTCCTATAGGTAATGACAAACAATAAAATTAGTACATTAAAAACAAAAAACTAGGAACAATAAAACACCCTGACTTCCTACCATAACTATTACTGAGACTCAGTCACCAAATTCAAAGCATGTTGTAAAAATTCCTACATTCAAGGAACTGCAGCAAAACCTGTAATAACCATAAAGTATACCTTTGCTGTATACTGGAAGATGTCAGCAATAATTTTCATGGATGGTTCTGGAGGGAAAATATAAGTATTTCTGACCATAAATTCCTTTAGTATGTCATTTTGGATGGTACCAGTAAGTTTCTCTTTAGGTACGCCTTGTTCTTCTCCAGTTACTATAAAATTTGCAAGAACTGGAATAACTGCTCCGTTCATGGTCATGGAAACAGACATTTTTTCTAAAGGAATTCCATCAAAAAGAATTTTGGTATCTTCCACAGTGTCAATAGCAACTCCAGCCATTCCAACATCACCACGGACTCGAGGGTTGTCTGAATCATAGCCACGATGCGTTGCCAGATCAAAGGCAACTGATAATCCCTGCTGACCAGCTAAATATATAAAGAAAAATAATCTAAGATTAAAAAGTCTGGCATCAACATAAGCTGATTTACTTTAACACTACTGAAAGTGTTAATTTATTTCATCATAGCATACTTTTATAACAAAATATTTTATGCTCCTACATGTCAAAACAAATTTAAATAAAGATATTCACTTCCTAAGAGGTAGCTGTTTCCCATGTGCTAAAATGCACAAGTTGAATTCCTGATGTCACTATAGAAAAGAATGGAAGGAACAGAATGCCTCGCTCATCTTATATTTATCTGACTATTTGGTGCTTAAGTACCAAATCATGTTTTATCTTAACAGTTTTTGACTGAAATATTTCTAAAACTCATGAAAAGATCTGGTTGTTCATATATAGTTAATATAACTTAGTATTTGGATGCTTACTTACTTTTTTTTGTTCTTTTATCTAATATGGTCATAACAGGATGTCTTGGCTATTCAAATATTCTGGGAAACAGAATTATGACAGTCATATGAAATTTTTAAATAACTAAAATAGTCTACACTAAATATAAATATACCCTCCATGAGTAACACAAACTTATAAATCCTCAAGTTTAGCATTCAAACAATATGATTTTATTATAGATCTGAAAGAATAAATATTAAGATATTCAGAGAATGAGCATCAGATCACACTCAATATATTTGAACCACTTTATCATTTGTTTATTACTTTCTTTGAGCATCCAGAGATAGGGAACCTGTGGCCTTCTGATTTCATGATTGTTCTTTTTTAAGCACCAAAGGAGGCAAGAAAAGCTTCATATTTCCCTGCTGCACCCCTTTTAATAAAAGCATATGTTCTGTAAAATTTGGATTCAGTCAAAAGGCTGCACTTAAGGACCCAGAAAGCCACACGTGGCCTTAAGGCCACAGGTTGAAGATAGCCTATCTTCACCTCCAAGCCCTACCCTGATGATGTTAAGTTTTTCCAAGGCCAAGCCAATGTCTCTTTTCTTCATGCAACTTCATCTCACTTAATTCCTTTGAAACAATGTGCATGTAAGTGTTATTTACTTTCAAGAATTTAGCACTTTATTGCAACTCACTTATCTTTTTGACCATGGAAGTTGAAAAACATTCATTTTTTTTCAGAGTATAGTCTTTATCTACAAAAGTATAAAGTGACTATCACCTTTACAGAGGTTAACCAGCCTCTCCTCAAAAAGAGCCAAGATTAGGAGGTATATATCTTATCATAAATATTATGTCTTACATCTCACCCTTAATATTGTCTTTATAGAACTTATTGCTCTCTTCCACAGTACTAAAGCCAGCATACTGGCGAATGGTCCAGGGCCTATAGGTATACATGGTAGGATATGGTCCACGTGTGAATGGCTTCACTCCTGGAAGTTCTTCAGGTAAGTCCTTAGTATCTCTCCTGGAATATAAGGGCTTTATAGAGATCCCTTCTGGGGTGTGCCATATTAAGTCTTCTGGATTTTTGCCTTTCAGCTGCTTTTTAGCCAGGGCAGCCCATTCTGGGTGAAGGGGTTGTTGCTGGTGGAGAAGTCTTTGCCATATGATCCTGGAGCCTGCTGATTCTTTTACCTGCTTCAGGTAATGAGGGAAAAGTAAAAAAAGCCGATTCTTAGCCCTCAACATGGTGCAGCATGGGAACACCCAACAGGAACAAGAACAGACCTGGAAAAAGAAACACAATGTATATACATTTAGAAAAGGGAGGAAAAATAGGAGATACTGATGAACAAGGAAAGGGGAAGGAAGAGGGCATATTCGTATGATTTCATCTCTTCCCCTTTTCTGCTTCCTGCACCTAATATTTTATAACTTTGGCACCTCTTCTCCACAATTACCATCAGCATTCTAGTTCCAGTCTTCTTCCTCAGTACCCTCTTAGCTACCACAGTCTTAGCCCCCTCTAATCCATTCTACACAACAATACCAATGAAAACCTATGTCACACGCTCCATGAAACTTTTCAAAGGTTCTGCATCATGTGGATGCAATATAGCCTTCCAATTAAATTAACTTTTTTCATTCAAAATGCTTTTGCTTTTATCAAATACCTAATTTATGATAGGCATTATATTGGGTGATAGAGAAAAAGTGGTGAACAGAACAAACAAGTCATTCAAGGCCTTCATGACTTGGTCTCTACTTGCCTTTCAGATTCATCTCTGCCTTTGTCCTCTCTACACATTTTGTTTTCTAGAAATACTGGGCCAGCTACAGTTCACTGAATATTTCAAAGTTCTGTGAATTTGTTCTTGCTCCTCCTTCTCCCCAGAATGTTGTTCTTTGGCTAATTCAGTCATGGTATTATCTCCAAAATGCATAGTTTCTATGTGCCAGGTACATAGAAAGTTATAAAGTCTTCACACAGAGTAGCAATTTTAATTTTTTGTATGTTTTTTACTTTTTAAATTTCAAAATATTAAGTACATACAAAGGTTTTTGTTACATGGATACCTTTTATAATGCTTAAGTCAGGGCTTTTAATGTGCCCAATATTAGGTTTTTACCCCTCCCCTCTTCCCTTTCCTGTGACTTTTATATCTCTTTGGGCCCATGTGTGCTCATTGATTAGCTCTCAGTTATTACATGTGGTGTTTGTTTTTCCATTCCTAAGATGCTTCACTTAGGATAATGGTCTCTAATTCCATCCAAGTTGTTGCAAAAGACATTATTTCAATCTCTTTTATGGCTTAGTACACAATGGTATATATATGCCACATTTTCTTAATCTATTCATGAATTGATGGGCACTTAGGTTGATTCCACATCTTTGCAATTGTGAGTTGTGCTGCAGTAAACTTACAAGTGCAGGTGCCTTTCACCAAGAAGTAGGAACTAGTATTATCCCCTTTTTATAGATTAGGAAACTGAGGCACTGATGAGCCAGCATTTGAAACCTAGCAGCCTGTTTCAAAGTCTTTGCATTTAAGTAATATGCTCAAAATCCATCCCTGAACCTGCAAGATGAGCTAAAAGGCCTCTTCAGTAATCTACTTCTCTGCCAGTCTATAAACTGCTCCGACATGAGAGCTGCATTTGCCTGTTAACTAGCACAGACTACTATACTAGGTGACTGGGTCCAGCTTCACCATTATACAGATGTAGACATTGAAGTTCAGAGAAATATAGATATAAAGTGGTTTGATTAAAATCCTACCAAGCAAAGCAGTTAATTGTTCACTTCAATTACTAAATACTTATCAGGGTCATACAGCTTAAACATATGGAACCAATTATTTTAAAAGATATTGAGATACAAATTTTCTTAATATATTCATCATCTCATATTGTTTTATACTGGGTAAGACAGCAAATGAGTTTAAAATTCTATTTTCCATACCATTTCCTACCTATCAATTTGGTGAAGCTTAAAGAAAATGAATACTCAACACCTATTATGGGGACATAAAACAAGAGATATAAACCACTGGTGGGAGTACTAACTGTTTTAACTACTTGGGAAAGTAAATTGTCATTGTGATAAAAAGTCTCAGAAAGGTTTATGCCATTCTGCTGAGGAACATCATTCCTGGGAAAGCTACTGTAACAATATACAAAATAGACATTTCCTATAGTTTTATTTGTAATAGAGAAAACTTAGGAAAATCATAAATGTCTAACAACATAAGTGAATTACAGCACACATAAATGATAGAATTTTATGTAGCTACTGAAATATGCCTAGAAAATGAGTAAAACTACTTTTAATGTCAGAAATCAGAAGAGTAGTTTATAGTGGCTAGTAGAGAAAGGGATCAAGAGAGGCACTTTTTGGGATGATAGTCTTGATCTGAATGCCAAATACATGTAATCTGTTTGTGGAAATTCATCAAACTGTACAATTATGTTATGTGCACTTTCTGTAAGAATATTATACCTAACTAAAAAGCTAAAACTATCTTATGCACAGTTTCTATAAAAGGAGAAAGGCTCAAAAAGTATTAAGTGAAAGAATCAGTATACATAATTGCAAATGCAATATGTTCAACCAGGTAAAAAGTGCTCAGAACAAAATCTAAATGGAAATACAACATAAAGAATTCCCACTGTGTTTTTTTAAAGCTATTATAATTTTTATTCTACTAAATCTATGGGTCCTTATCATCCACATATTTGCAAGCCATCCACTACATTTATTAGCTTAAAAAATGGTTGAGAAAAATAACGAAGTTACAACTGAATTGTTTCAATAGTAATATAAAACTACCTGAGACTAGATTGTTAACTGGAAATATCATACCCATTTCACACAAAATACTTGTGGGGTTTTCCTAAACCTAGACAAATGATAGGAAAGAACTCTATATAACAGTGGCTTTCTGAAAAATCACATGTAAACTGGTGGAGGCTGGAAATAGACACCATTTTTAGATAAGAACACAACTACGGTTGATAGCAATAGGACTTCTGAATTTTCTCTCGGAAGACTGATCAAGAGAGGCCTCAAGTAGTCAAAGGCACAACATGCAAAGCAAATATAAGTTATTGATGATTAGAAAGTGTTAAACAGAATCTATGAAGCCCACTCTCACACCTCCAAAAACTATCCATAAGCGAAAACAAATTCTGCACCAAATAATTTTCAAGTTTTGACTGCTGACATGCGGTTCCACATTAACACTTCAAGAAAGGCTCCCACCTCCAGTGTTAAACCAAAGTGGGTCAGAGACAGAAACAAAGGGAGTGCAAATTATATTTAATATTAGCATAAGTAAATCATTAAACACAAAACCATTTCAGGAAAAAGTTAACAAATGGTTTAAAAGCTTACACATGTATATTATCTAGGGCTTCAACCTTCTGAAAGACCACTTTCTTTCTAGACAAAACTGAGAACAAGTTAGTAATTTACGATTTTAGGCCAATTTAGACCTGTACTTCCTATTCCACCTGTCACCCTTAACCCGATTTACATATAGAAAATTACTTTTAGCCCTGCCAAGTTTTACAGAACCCTAACAATAACATGAGACACATCTTAGAAGGGAGGCAGCCATGGAGCAGGCGCACGCCTCTGGAACCTCACAAAAAGTGACCTTTGCCCATGGGAACACCTCAGGGTGCTTGGGTAGCCAGAGAAGATGGGGTATGGCCTCTAAGATGTGAAAAGCACCTTCTTTTCAACGGCACCTCCGAATTCTCAAGGATCTCGCCAAAAATGAGAGGCCGGTGAGAATCTAAATCTAAGGAGAAGGTATAGGACAATAGGATCCCGTCACAGTAAGAAAGTAAATAAGGAAGGAAAAGACAGAATATCAAAGGATAGGGGTAGAGGAGAGAGAAGAAACAAACAAAAAACAAAAAACAAAAACAGAAGGATCTTAAAGGTGCTCAGTCCTACTCACTGGCTGGCCTGTTTAGGACTCTGCAAAGGGAGAGGGCACCTGGACTTCGCGCCCGCAGCCTCACTACTTAGAAGCCCACAACATACACACACGCACCGCGCAAACGCCGACTCCAGCCAAGCGAATCAGGGGGCGTAGGCCGACACCGCCCTCCCTCCAGCCAATCTAATCGCGCCCTGCCGGGCGCGCTCCTGATGGCGTAAGGGATACGGCTAGAGGGCCCGCCTCCTGCCACAGGCGTTTCCGCTCTCTTGCCGTCCACTTCCGGGTCTCTTCAGCTTTCGATTGTTTGGGCGCGAAGTAGTCTGAGGGCGGCTCCCTGAAGGGTTCCAGGAGGATTCAGTGGTGAGTTGTGATGTCGGTTAGCGCTCTGGGGAGATCCAGGTTAGGGGATGAGCTTTGTGGCCAACGCGTTTGTGGCAAACTCTGCGGTTTGTATTTGAGGAGCGTGAGCGGATTTTTCAATGGGAAGTGCCCGAGATTCTTGAAGGTCTGCCATTTGGGGTCGCGGATTGAGGTAGTTGATCTGCGAGGAGGGAGCGAAGCCATATATAGTTCCTCCCTACTTCCTCCATATCATCCTTGCCCCCATTTCTGAGTCTCTCCCGCATCCAGTAGTGCAGCGAAGTGCAGCCTTAGAGATTAATGTCTTTTTCTGTTTTGCCAGATGTTACGCTTACCTCTTCTGTTCATGTAGAGGTCTAGACTGAGATACCGTGTTTTCCCGAAAATAAAACGGTCTTTTATTTATTTTTCCTCAAGAAGACACCTTAGGGCCTATTTTCAGGGCATGTGTTATTTTCCCCTCAAAGCCTCAGTTTGTAGCACGCGCAGGATGGCCGGGACCTGACAGGGGGAGCCGACCTTGTTGTGGGGCTGCCCGCACCTTTCTGGTCACCTCTGGGATAGTAGCTGTCACGACGGGGTAGGTGAGAAGGGCTGCTCCTCTTCTTTACCGCCCCAGGACAAAATGCATGTGTTGTGCAGATACGCTGCGTAGCCACGCCCATCACTAGGTCTTATTTTTCATAGTAGGGCTTCTATTGCGCAAATGCTTAGAAATCCTGCTAGGGCTTATTTTATGGGTAGGTCTTATTTTCCGGGAAACAGGGTAGTACTATTCTAGGCACTTTACATATTCTGTACTAAATCATTTTAACTTTACAAAAGCCTTTGATACTGGTACTTTTATTAACCGATTTTACCAATGGGGAAACTGAGTTCATTTGCTTGTCCAAGGGTATACAGCTAATTAAGTGGCAGAGCCAGGATTTAGAGTTTGGACAATTTATCCTCATCCCTGGACTAGTCTTAACCACTGTGGCAGTGGTTCTTGACCTGGAGCACTTTTGCCCCAGGGGACATTTGGTATTGTCTGGAGATGATTTGGGTTGGTACTACTGGGTGTGAGAGCTGGAGAAATTCTGATATCTGGTAGGTAGACACCAGGAATGCTGCTGAACATCCAACAGTGCTTAGGATAGCTTCCCACAACAAAAATTTATCCTATCTAAAATAGTGCTGTGGTTGAGAAACTTTTTGCCCTATGATCTGTTGTCTCAAGTAGTACTTCTCAAACTGTAATAAGGGACCAATTTTTTTTTATTTCTAATCAGTCATAACTGATACTTATATAAAATACAATTAAAATAAATTATTAGTCAAAGTGAATTAGTCATAGAATGTGCAACACCAGGAGTAAACTTTAATGTAAACAATAGATTTGGGGGGATATGATGTATCAATGTGCTTGATACATAACATCTGTTATGGCAAATGTTCCACTTTGGTATGGGATGTTGATGGGGGGGATCTTGCACGGGATGGGGAGGGACAGGGGTATATGGAGACTGTACTTTCTGCTTAGTTTTACTGCAAACCTAAAACTGCTCTGGCAAAGTATTTTTTTATCTTAATTACTAAAAAATGAGATTAAAAAGACAAAAAATAATTGTCTTAAAGACAAAAAATAATTATCTTATGTTTAGGTTCAACATATATAACATTACTCTGTCGGATTGCTATAAAAGTTTCTAAATGATTGCTCTGAATTTCTGTACATAAAAGGATTATGCCAGTTTTGTAAACCAAATTTGGAGTAGCACTGAGTTACATGTTATTGAATAAAGAACATCAAGAAAAAATAATTAAAACCAAACTGTAAATAAATGCCCAATGAGAGAGACCGTAGAACCTGCAAACTTTTAAAGAGCAATGAAGTGGAGTGGTTAGGAAGGCTTTGGGAAGGAGGTGGCTCATGAGAGGGTAGGCAGAGACGAGAGAGAGCAGCTCAGGTAGAGGATACAGTATGTTCATGGGAGGCAGAATTATTCAAAGTGTGCTCAGGACATCATCAAATCTGGCTAGAGAAGGAGATTTGATTAAGGAGTAGTAGTAGGAGAGAAGTATGAAAAGCTAAGCAGGGTTGGTTTGTTAAGGACTATAAATGGCATGGTAAAGAGCTTGGATGTTATACGATAGATATTGGGGTGGGTTTTTTAATCAATTATTTTGTTCTAAAATTTGATAACGGAAGGAGCTCAGCAGGGCTGGCTCATGTCTTGTCCATGCAGTGTGAGCTGCAACACATTGGCTCAGGTACATTCCCCAGGCTGGCAAGTTGGTGCTGACTGCTGGCTGGAAGCTCAGCTAGGACTTTTGCCTGGGATTTCAGTTCCTCTCCATGTTGGCCTTCTTCATATAGTGGTGGCTGGGTTCCAAACAAGAGGAAGGTGAAGCTTCCAGTCTCCTCATGTCTAAGCTGGAACAGAATCACTTTTACCATATTCTTCTGCTCACACAGCTGCAAAGTCTGCCAAGATTTAAGACAAGGGTACATAGATCCTATCTCTTATTAAACACTAGTGGGAAAGAATTTATACCATTTTTAATCTAAAATCTCAGCTGTCATTTGCCCCCTCACCTGGATGCTCTAATTCAGTGAACAACCTGTTGCACATTTCAGCCTTTCCAGCAGAGATCCACAAGTGAAACTCTCATGTATATGGATTTTTAAGTAGGGGAAGTATAGAGGAAATGATGTCAAATTGTGAATAGAATTAGGCATTTTAGAAATGGAACAGAGGATAGAGACTGGATTTAAAGTAAGGTACTATATTGTTCAAAGGCAGGGTAAAATGATATTTTGCCTTCTCCTTTTTATAACTGATCTGACATGTAGTTGCTAAATGTAGTTTGTGATCTTTCAGTTAATTCTTCCTAACTATTGTTTTCAGTCTTAACTGGAAAAAAGAAAGCTTGAAGCTTTTAAAATTTGAAAGAATAGATTTATCCAGAGTATCTCTTTATTGTCTGCCTCTAAATCTGCATATATATTTAAACTATATTAGTACAATTAATTTTAAATTTTTAGAAAAAGAATGATAACTACTTTATATATCTAGCCATACATGCCTACAGAAAATGTATGCACACACAAATATATGTATATATGTGTTAGGTGTATATACATGTTTCCTTGTGTATTGTACCTAATTTCTAAGTCATCTGCTTCTTGTGGTCTAATGCAAGAATAACTAGGCCGGGCGCGGTGGCTCACGCCTGTAATCCTAACACACTGGGAGGCCGAGGCGGGCGGATTGCTCAAGGTTGGGAGTTTGAAACCATCCTGAGCGAGACCCCGTCTCTACTATAAATAGAAAGAAATTAATTGACCAACTAAAAATATATATACAAAAAATTAGCTGGGCATGGTGGCTCATGCCTGTAGTCCCAGCTACTTGGGAGGCTGAGGCAGGAGGATCGCTTGAGCCCAGGAGTTTGAGGTTGCTGTGAGCTAGGCTGACGCTACGGCACTCACTCTAGCCAGGGCAACAAAGTGAGACTCTGTCTCAAAAAAAAAAAACAAGAATAACTAACCCATTCCTTTGTTCCTTTTATCAGAAATGAATTTGGTAATAAAGGGCTATTAGAGAGAGAAAAGGAGCTATTCTAAATTTTGTCATTGACATTACCAAGGAAAATTTAGAACATTTATAAGGAACGTTTTAACAAAATGTTGTGCAAACCTTTAGCATTTTTCTGTGTTCCCATGTCTGTTGTGTAATTGTGGGGAGGACAAAGTAATCAGTATACTTCTGTACTCTTGTTAAAATGACCATAGCACAGATAGAGTTACAGCTTAAATCCTTACTAGTGGCAGACTGTCACTGAATTTCCACAACATAGATTGGTAGTATAATCCTAAAAATTATCTCCTCCTATCTTTGGCAAAAATTGAGTAATGGTAAATCTGTTACTTAAAATGGGAAGACCTGGGTATTATTGCTCAAACTGACGTCATCTGTGACCACTATATATTTCCATTTTCTTGGATTTAAACATAGAGATAATGTTACTATACGAGGGAGTATAAAGTAGGAGATACAAAAGCATTTTTAAATGATTTTTTTAAAGCCATACAAATGGAAGTAATTTCTAGGAATGAAATTGAATTAGATATCCTTATTCTAATGAGAGCCAAAGTTACTTGTTTTAAATAAATGTTTAAAAACACACAATACTATCCCCAGACTTTTTTTTATGATTTTTTTCTTAAAAGGACAATTTGGAACATTTATAAGAAGTTTTTATAAACAAAATATTGTGCAAAGCTTTAGCATTTTTCTGTGTTCTTTTCATCTTTATGGAGTTTTTATTATCATAATTATTATTATCCTATTTAGATCAAGATGCCTGGTAAACCAAATGCTTCTAAGAAAAAGTATCAACAGCTAAAAAGAAATCCAAAAAGAAAAACTGATGATGAGGAAGTAGAGTTGTCAGAGGAAGAGGTAATGAAAATACCAAGTTTATCATTTGGAACTCTTTGATTAGAAATAACATCTATTTTATGGAAAGAGTAAATGAAAACTAAAGCTCAGTTTTACCACAAATTATAGCAATTCATACCATTGTATGGGAGCTTTTGCAGCATGATTTGCAAAATTCTCAAATAAAAACTATTATTTACTTCAATTTCTAAAAATAAGTACCGATGATGGACTTGAGAAGGAGAGGGTCATGGGGCATTACGAAGATGTTTAAATGGGAAGATTAGGAATATTGTGTACAAATTCTTATAGCATTTAAATGTTAAAAAACAAGAGAATCTGTCATTTAGTGGATTTTTATTAAAATACAGAACAAATAGTTTGGGAGGAATCAGCTTCTTCCAACCATAACTTTGCCCCTCTCTTAGAATAAATGAATTAATCAAAAAATTTCTTTTGTTTAACCTGCTCATTAGACAATGCTTATATTTGTTTTGCAGGTAAAGTATGTAACACTATTTCACAGGCAAAATGAGTAATGATTTATTTAAAACATTTTTTGACACTATAAAATTTAATTATCATCATTGTCCAACTTCTAAGTCATCCTAACTTAGTCATCCTTCTAAGTCATTGTCCAAGAATTTATTTATTATATCCTCTGCCTGTGATAAATACATACTTTTCTTTTGTAGAAGTTGCAATACACATTTTTCTACCTACCAGAGGTTATATGAATACTCTTCAACATATATGATAAATCTATTATAAAAGCAATGTCTTTTTATCTCGTTTAATTCTGTGTGCGGACACATGTCTTTCTCTCTCCCTCTAGGTTAGAAACACAGCAAAAAGAAAGCAAAATCATCCAAAGCATCTGTCCCCTGAAGGTATTTCTTTTTTATTATGTTGTTAACCTGCTGCTTTCTCAAGCTATCTGTATTTATGAAAAATTTTTCAGCATCTTGTTTATGAGTTCTGCAAAAGCAAAAGCTAGTAATAAACAGCTACATTTGCATTTTTGCAAAATAGATAGTCCTGGTTAGTTATTTTGGTCAACTGAAATTTTACCTAACACCCGTGGCAAAATACTTTGAAGGCTTATATGCCACTGAGTTGATAGGATCTAGAGAAAATCAAAGTAAAGTGGCCCATAGTCTAAATTGTTAATGATCTATGATATAAAGACAAACCTTACTGATTTCTCTTCAAGATGAATACCCTTTCTGTACTATATAGATTAGTTTGGAACCACTATCTAAGTTATTGTTCGGAGTAAATTAGTTTGGAGTGTAGTCATCTTTGCTTAACCATCACTTCTTCATAGAAGGATGTTCTACCTCTCTTCACCCAAGACCAGATTAGGTCTTCTAGTTTTATACTTCCATTGCATGCCTGTAATTTGTTTACTATTTCTTCTCTCCAAAACGGATCTTCATGAGAGCCAATACTATATTTTCTTTGTGTATCCCTTATAAGTAGAACAGGACCAACAACATAGTTAACACTGAATCTGTTTGTGGCTTGATTAGTCTATTTTGTTCCAGTTGTCACCCAACAGTTGGTAGAAATAGTTCTCTAATCTTCTCAGTAATGTTTTTAAAGAGCTCAGATCATTTCTGAGAACCAAACTTTGAGTAATTTTATCTTGGTTCTTCATTTTAAATTATTTATTTGGCGTTTATATTGCAATATCACTTGGTATTTTGGCTAATGTAACAATAGATATGTTTATATTCAACATGTAGCATGCCATGGCTGTATAATAAAAAGTAAATTGAACAGTTTATACAGTTCTATAATATTTTGTTCTCATAATTCCATAAACTTTTAGATTTAAAAAAATCACTTTTTAAGTAAAAACATGCAAACTTCTGGATGAATCATAGTCTTTTCTATTATCAATGACAGGACAACCAAAGCATACTAATATAAAACAGATAAAGATAGCATCCAACAAGAGAAAAACCTGGCAACCTCTTTCAAAGAGTAGCAGAGACCATTTGCAAACTATAATGGAATCGGCAATAATGTGAGTGTAAAATTTTTTCATTTCACTCGTGGTTTCTACTTTATGTGTTTCCTATGGACATTATCTTCCTAAATATACTATTTATTTTAAGTGATAGAGTATTTTTCTATTTCAGAAGAATTATATTTAATGTCTGATGGTGGTATTAGCCTTTAGCAAAAAAGTATTTGTTAATTTTAAAAACTTGAGATTCTATCATTGAAATAAAAAGTCTATGTAGCCCCACCTGCTATCTATAAAATTTTAATTTATTCTTTCAATAGGAATTCTTTAGGAAGAAGTTAAATTCAAAGGGACACTTTATATAGAAGCTGCCATGGTAGAGAGGACACAAAGAGAATTAGACAGAATTCTGCCATCATGGAGCCGATCTCCATTTAAAGAGCCAGGCATATAAATTACAATACATGTGGTTTTAAAAAAATTATTTTTCATTGTATCTCTGCTTAAAATGTGTTTAATATAAAAGGAAAACTGATTGGTGATTGATTCTGTCTGGCTAGTGAATAGAGGCACTCAAGAGAAATCAGAGAAAAATTACACAGATTATATTATTTGTCTTTCAAACTATTTATTAATCTTTTTTTTCTTTTCTAGAACAATTTTAAGTGAAAATATTAAAGAAAAAGAAGAAATGCAATATCATCTCAACTTCCTGAAGAAAAGGTATTACAGTTATGCTATTTGAGGTGGTTAAAACATAAAACATAATTTTTAAAAATCTGTCTTCTTCCTATGTTGCCAAAGTAGACACTGTGGGATATAAGTTTTTCAGTTTTTTAAGATGAGCAATTTGGAAATAGTATATTTTTTTTCTTTTCTAACTGCTGCTGCATGCATGTCTGAAATAAGTATCAGAGAATTTGTATAAAAAAAAAAAAAAACTCTGAAAATCACAGACTACCTATTTCCACAGTTTACTCTTCTGTATCAGGATTTGAAAACTATTTTGTCAATTTTAACTTCCTTCATCTTCATTTTTAATGATTTAAAGTTAGCAGTTTACCACTCATATTTGATATTTATCCTGTTGCTGTATTTTTACTTGACTTCATATTGTCTTACATTATTTGTACAAGCAGCAAGTAATAATTTTCCAAGATATTAGTGTTCTTCATCTTGTAGTAAATCACCAATGGAGATTTCTTTTCAAGTGTTCTTAAAAATCACTGCCCGTGATTTTCTTTTTCTTTTTTTTTTTTTTTTTTTTTTTTTTTTTTTTAATGGACATATGCATGTGTAATTGCCCGTGATTTTCAAGGATTACTTTTCTCTAATATTTGTACTTTTTCAGAACAGAATGCTTTGCATCCCAGTTTCAACACAGCAAATGAACCTTCTACACAATTGGTTTAATAAACATTTAGAAGATACTTCATAAATGAAATTTTCATTTTAGTTAAAAAAAAAACCTTCTCCCTCTTAAGAAGACTTGTATAGAGACAGGTTGTTTTTGCTTAAATGTGATAGTCCAATGATGATTTTAAGGATAACTGGAGTTTGTCTGAATAGTTTAATGAGAATAATTTTGATTCGTGGAGTTTATACTGCCTACCTTTTTCTTTATGAAAATTAAGGTTTTTAATAAGATCCCAGAATTGGGATAGTGTGTTCCACTGTTGTTCATATTCCTTCAAATCTTAAATATTAGAACTTCTTAGAAGCCAAAGATGCTGCTTTTAGGTAGAAGGAACCAAATTTAGCTTTCTTTGTTGATTTTTTTTCCTCACAGAATTCAAAAATCAAATCTGAGAAAGAAAGGTATCTTGCCTTCTGCTGGATGCAAAGGTAGAAATAGATCAGTTTCTACTGGTGATCTAATCAACCCAAATTTTTAGGAGAATTTTTTAACTTTAATAATAAATACCATTCATGTTGATAGTACTTTAGAGCAAAGCACTTTATTCTTAGTGTTTTATTTGGCTTAAACTCTTTGAAACTCAGTTTTCTTTAAAATCATTTAGAGTAATTAATGTAAAACTTCCCTTTTATTGGTCATATTTTCTAACATCACAACACAGGGTCACAGTTAAGACTTCTAGATACTGTTCTATCTCTTACCCAACAATTCACATTAAGTGATAGATATATGTACTGTAATAGCCTAGGAAACATGTAAATGATGCAAAGAAGTTTTTATTTTGAAACATGTATTAATAACTGGTAAATGTGTAAAATAGAAAATTTTCTGTTATAAAGCAGTCTCAGTGCCCCATAATTTGAGGTGAATCTTAATAGATTGAAAGTTTAAATGATGATTTATCAGGCTTTTGTTGGGGGGGACCTACTGCCATAGTTAGCCATTGTTAGTAAAAGAATGTTATGTCCTTAGGAATATGAGAGAAAAAAAATGAGAGCTACCTCAAAATAAATAACACTAATGGTACTCAAAAATAAACAAAATAATCATGTTTTTATTCTATCCTTAAGATTGCTACAACTGTATGAAACCCTGAAAGTCCCTCCTGAAAAGCTGAAAGATTTAGCCAATGTGTCAAGTCTATTGAATATGGAAAGGGCACAGGGCAGAGCCAATGAGGAAAGTCTGGAATTATTGCAGGTATGAAATTTGAACAGGGAATCCATTATTAGAGAGTTATTGGAAAGAAGAAGAGACCAAAAAATTTTTCAAATTATCATGATATTCTTGTAGAAATAAAAACTAGAAGGACCAGGTTTTTCATTAAATTATTACCTTTTTTTAATTAAAGCAAAAACTTTGGGCCTCTAAAGTATTTCTAATACATTTGTGGCTAAGTTAGTAGCCCTATTTTTTTTATCAGACTTTACTTTAACTGAACTCTCTTAGTGTTTTTAATTATCAAGGTATAGGAACTTGTCATTAAATGCTATGGAATTTCAGAACATATTAGTTTCGCTGTCCTGTGTATGCCAAGAAGTCTCAATCATCATCATTATAGTTAATGTGTATTGGGGACTTTCCATATTCCAGGTACTATTCTAAGTACTTTATAGTCCGATCCTTTAATTCTCACTATGACTTAAGAGAATCTGACCTAAATTATTCTCATTTTACATGTGTGAAAAAAAGACATAATGCTATTCCTAACTGAACCTTAGACAAAAAAATGCTTAAAATTGAGAGACAAATCTTTTAGTCTAACTTCAGAGTATGATTCTTGTTCATTATGTTATTAATCTATTATATACTATAGAAGATAATGAGAAATAATATTAGCTGTCATGATTAACTTCAAGCTTTTTTTTTTTTGAGACAGAGTCTTGCTCTGTTACCTAGGCTAGAGTGCTGTGGCATCAGCCTAGCTCACAACAACCCCAGACTCCTCAGCTCAAGCAATCCTCCTGCCTCAGCCTCCTAAGTAGCTGGGACTACAGGCACACGCCACCACACCTGGCTAATTTTTTGTATTTTTAGTTGTCTGGCTAATTCTTTTTCTATTTTTAGTAGAGATGGGGCCTCACTCTTTTTCAGGCTAGAACTTCAAGCTTTTAATTAGTGGATATCTGAATAATTAAGAAAAGCAAACTTGAGTGTATTAATTAAATAATTATAAAAACTAAAATAGATTGGACCATATATCCTTTAGACATTTTGAAGTAGATTATAGGTGTGGTGCTTACATTTTTATTAGCAATTTAGTAAGTGCAGGGTATTAGTAGTTTCTGTAAGGAATATATTCCCAAAATTTCTAATAATTCAAAATTCACAAATAATTCCTATTTTTCCATGGGATTGAGAATAAAGTTCAAGGGATAGGTTTCTGAACAACAAATCTTCATATCTTATAAATTAATAAGGTGGTATTTTTTGCTGGTTGCCTCACTTTATTAATAGTGTGATATTGTATTTAATTTCCATCCCAATGTTATACTTTTTCATACCATCTTTTTAGTGTTGGCACTAGCTTCACCACTTACTAGACACTTAAATGACATTAATATAGGTTATTTTTAAAGACTTTAAAATATAATAATGGTGAATTTTTTGCATAATCTTTCCACAAATTGGTTAAAGGTAATCTAAAATAGTAAATGATAGTGTGATTTATTTATTTTTTATTTTTTGTAATACTGGGAAGCATTTCTGGCTTACAGCTAAAATTGGACTTCCATGAGACAGAAGCACAAATACAGTCTGTTGTTGTCTTGGTAGTCAGTTACTCAATGGAAGCACCGTTGGCATTTCAAGCTAGAAAGGTTTTCACTGGTATAAAAGGATCTTTGAACTAGCAATTCGTAAACTTTGTCTTTATCTGTTAATTTTCTTCTCTGTGCCTTAGAATCACTGGTTTTTCCCACTGCAGCCTAGAGTTATGGTTGGTGGTGATGTTCCAAAACCTACACTAGTGACAAGTTTTATTCATTCACCAGCATTTTCATTGCCCTCTCACTCAGTGATAGTGCTGGGGAAAGTTGATGGTGAACAAAGTCTCTGAAAGATTCTGGGGAAAGATAGCATTAGAATTGGTGAGTCATAGTTTGTTAATCCCCCTTGATCTTATAAAAACGGAGCCAAGTATTGCAAGAATGGAAAACCAAATACCACATGTATTCAATACGAAATTGGAACTAATCGATCAACACTTAAGTGTACATATGGAAGTAAAACTGAACAGAAATCAAGTGAGCAGAAGGAGAGAAAAGAGGATAGGGAAATTCACACCTAATGGATATAAATGCACACTGTCTAAGTGTAGGGCACACTTACAACTTTGACTCAAAATGTACAAAAGCAAATTATGTAACCAAAACCTGTGTACCCTCGTAATAGTCTGAAATACAAAAAACAATCAAAATCTGACTTAGCATTAGAAAGTATGAGACAAAGAGAAGGTCATGTGAGGAAAATGGAGTGACACAGCTATAAGGAATGTGGACAACCACCAAAACCTGGAAGGGACAAGAAAGCATTCTCCTCTGTTGTTTCAGAGGAATCGTGACCCTGCCAACACCTTGATTTTGGACTTCTGTATTTTGAGAATAATGTTAGATATAGCATCAACCATGTTGCTGAGCAGGACTTAAGAGTTATTACTTCTGTATATTTTATGTTTGGATTATTTGTTGGTTTCCTGATCCCCAGAGACAAAGTTATCATTAACTGTTGCTAGGCCTGGATTTGAAAGCAATGTGATACTTAATTCTCTTTAGAAACCTGGAAGATAGCTAATTCTATACTTGGCCTACAAGCAGCAAATCCCTGATGTCTCCATACCCATTTCATTCATTTCTCATTTTCTTTTTGTCTTTCCCTATAAATTATATATTCCTTTAGTGTAGGATACTGTCATTCTTTTTAATATTATTATTGTCATTATTATTATTATTATTATTACTGTCCTTGCCCTAATGCCCAGCACTGCTTTCTTTCGGCAAATTAAAATAGCAGATACTCAAATGTTCTCAAATAAGTGAAAAAATTTTAGAGTTTCTCTGCTAATTATGGAAGTTATATGCTACTTAGGGAAGACTTCTATATTTGCTCTCATTGGCCCAAGGCTCTTTTAGATATAGACTGGGTCTTCCAGGATCTCTGATACTAGCGGCTTTGGTAAGTTTTAAGCAATTGTTCATGTACATGGAGTGTATCTCCTTATTCTAGGAAAATTAGGTTTCTTTATAATATGTTATTACATTGGCAAAGCAGATTTCTAGGAAGTCTGTTTTTTGAAAGAAAAACAAAAGTAAACTCAATGGTTTCTTCTAAAAGTGTTTTAATATATGAGGTGTTTTTAAAATATATATGTATAACAATATGTTATGGTTTAATTTAATAATGTATTTAACTTGAAATATGATTTTTTTCTTTCTGACTCAGGAAGAAATAGATAAAATGGTAGAGACCACAGAGTTGATGACTGGGAATATTCAGAGCCTAAAGAACAAAATTGAAATTCTGGCAAGTGAGGTGGAAGAAGAAGAGAAGACACTAAAACAGGTAATAGTTTAAAAATGTATTGTAATTTAGATATAATTTTTAATGCTTAAATTCTGCCAAGGCGACTTTCGAATATAATAAGTTTAGAGAAATCAGCCTTTGAAATAATCTATAGTTTTCTTTTCCTACTTTAGGTGCTCCAAGTGGATAGTAGTGGTGTACTTGCTCTTCCAGAACTTTCTCAGAATAGTCTTAAAGCACCCATACTTCAGGTAAGTACCTATTTACTATACTGACTACAGGCATATCTCAGACAAAATATGAGTTTGGTTCTAGACCACTGCAGTAAAACAAGTCACTCAAATTATTTGGTTTCCCATTACATACAAAAGTTATGTTTACACTATACTATAGTCTGTTAAGTGTGCAGTAGCATTATCTCTAAATAAACAATGTTCATACCTTAATTTTAAAATTACTTTATTGCTAACAAATGCTAATGATCATCGGAGCCTTCAGTAAATCATAATCTTTTAGAATGGTGGAGGTTCTTGCCTTGATGTTGATGGCTTCTGTCTATAGTAGTGGCTAAAGGTTGAGGTGGCTGAGGCAATTTCTTAAAATAAGATAACAGTGAAGTTTGCTACATCAATTGACTCTTCCTTTCAAGAAAGATTTCTCTGTAGCATGCGATGTTCTTTGATAGCATTTTACCCACAGTAGAGCTTTCAAAATTGTAGTTTAATCTCCCAAACCAACCAGGTACAGTGGCTCGCTCCTGTAATCCCAGCACTTTGGGAGGCCAAGGCAGAAGGGGAATGCTTAAGGCTAGGAGTTTGAGACAAGCCTGGGCTACATACCAAGACCCTGTCTCCACAAGAAAATGTTTTTAAAACATTAGCCAGGTGTGGTGGCATGCACCGGTAGTCTCAGCTACTCAGGAGGCTGAGGCAGGAGGATCACGTAAGCCAAAGTATTCTAGATTACAGTGAGCTAAGATGAAGCCACTGCACCTCCAGCCTGGGCAACAGAGCGAGACCCTGTCTCTTAAACAAAAAAACTCCTTCAAAAACTTTTCATTTGCATTCACAACTTGCTATATGGTGCAAGAGGCCTAGCATTTAGCCTGTCATAGCTTTTGACATGCCTTCCTTATTCAGTTTAATCACTTCTGGTTAATAGCTTTATTTAAAATGAAAGACATGGCAACTTCCTTTCACTTGAACACTTAGAAGTCATTGTAGTATTATTACTTGGCTTCATTTCAATATTGTTGTCTCAGGAAATGGGAAGGCCTGAAGAGAGGAAGAGAGATGGGGAAACAGCCAGTCAGTGAAGTAGTCAGAACACACATATTTATCAGTTAAGTTTGCCGTCTTATATGTGTGCACTACATGTCACCCTAAAACAGTTACAATAGTAACATCAAAAATCACTGGTCACAGATCACCATATCAGATACAATAATAATGAAAAAGTTTGAAATACTGTGAGAATTACCAAAATGTGACAGAGACACACAGTGAGCACATGCTGTTGGAAAATGGCACTTATAGACTTATGCAGGGTTGCCACAAACCTTCAATTTATAAAAAACTCAATATCTGGGAAGGGCAACATACCAAAGAACAATAAAACAAGGTTTACCTGTATATCACTGGTTATGCATTGCATGTATATAAAACATCGTGTCCTATTTCTTTCTTTATGTAAATGGAATCCTGATATAAACTATTTGTCAAATTACTGTTCTCATTTGACTATAGTGAATGTCTTTCCTTGTCAGTTCATACGAAGCTCTCATTCTTTTTGGTAGCTATATAACATTCCATTTCATGAATTTATAATATAATTTTTAAATTACTGATGGAAATAAATAATTTTTTGTATTTCAGATAATACTGGGTATACCCTTGTACATATAACTTTACAGATTTGTATAGTCATAATCGTAAGATCCATTTCAGTAAATAAATATTGACAGTTGCTTTTATTTATGCTTTAGATAGTGACATATAACTCCTTAGAAAATACCACTGTCTTATTTATAGTAAAGCCCACAGTGATATATATCTTTCTTCAAAGGACCCAGTACATATTATAGTGTAAATGTTTTTGCCAGTGGAAAGTCTTCATGTTTTCTCAAAAAGTAATTTAAAGTTTTCCTATCTATCATCCCCCAGTGGTAAAAGAAGCAGGAATGGGGAGAGGAGGGAGAGATAGATTTGAAAGAAGAATGGCCATAGTTGATGTTTATTGAAGATGGGTGATAGTACTTGAAGTTGGGTGGTGGGTACATGCTCTTTAAACAACATACCTTTGACATTTTTCATAAATTGTTAAAAATTAATTATACTATCTTACCCACAGAAAGAAATTTTGGCACTAATTCCAAACCAGAAAGCTCTTCTAAAGGACTTGGATATTCTTCATAATTCATCCCAGATTAAGGACATGTTAATGTTCATTGAAGAAGCCTATAAGAAATTGGATGCCACTTGAAGAGTTTTTTTAAGATTGTTTCATATTAATTTAATGTTTATGCATTTATTAAACGATTAACCCATGATAATATTACAGAGGCTGAGGCTTCTACAGGATTTATCCCCTGATATGCACTTTCAAATTAGCTTCTGTAGATCTACCATTAGCATCTAATGGATTTCTGAAAACTCTTTTTAGCAGTTGCCAAATCTATGAAATCAATATTTATGTTGTCGTATTGCAATTATTTGCCTAAAACCGTTAAACAAGAACAGTCATGATCTAATCATTTATAATGGTTAAATGAAGCTCATTTACTGCTTAAATATGGAATTGTGGTATCTAAATTATGTACAGTACCTAGTATATAAAAGCACAAGTGTTTGCTATATCACTCATTCTGTACTAATGGCTTGCATTTTCTGTCTGATCATCTGGAAGTTGAAAAATCCTCAAAGGCCTTCACTTTTTTTACCTAACTCTGTAGTCTTTTTATGAACTAGTTAACATTTGCCAGGTATATTTAACTTTGGAGGTAACAATAACATTTTATTTCTTTGGTTGGTTAGTGAATAGATGTTGAACATTTATTTTCTACTGTCATGAAAGCATACTTTTACTTGTAAAATAAAATAAAATAACTGCAATTTTATTATTTTTTGCTATCTTTCAGTTATCTTGTCAGTTAATTTAAAAGATGCCATAATTCTGTTAGTACCCTTCAGGCAGACACCAACCACCAGGAGTGTACCTGTAGTTAAATAAGTTAGATTTTAATGCTCATTGTAATGAGGGAGATAACACATTATGGGGATCCTAGGGCAGCTCAGTGACAGGATCAAAAGCAATATCCCCATAAGAAATAATGGAAATGGAGGACTGATGGATTTTAGAGGGAAAGAAAGTCTAGGAAAAGAAGCTTGGCAAAGAGAGTAAAAATAAAAAGTATTACAAAATGTCTTAGAAACCATTCACTTGGAGACTTAAAGCTTCATGTTTTTAGAATGACTAGTAAACCCCAAACTCTTTGATTCTTAACATTAATCATGATGTTTCTAGTAGCTTTGGGTGGGTAGGGAGGAGTTGCATTAAACTTGTGCTGCTGCTCTCAGAACATTTATTGGGTTGGTGCAAAAGTAATCGCAGTTTTAGCATCTTTGAAATTTGCCATTTGATATAGGAATGCATTCTTAAATGTTATGTTATACATAATTTGTGCATTTTTTGCTTTATGTTTTTTGGCTAAATGACGTATTGGTGTTTATATTTATATTAGACTATGGAAATAATGTTAGACAAAAAGCAAATTCAAGTGATTTTCTTACTGAAGTTCAAAATGGGTCATAAAGCAGCAGAAACAACTCAACATCAACAATGCATTTGGCCCAGGAATTGCTAATATATAGTGTAGTGGTGGTTCAAGAAGTTTTGCAAAGGAGATGAGAGCCTTGAAAATGAGGAGCGCAGTGGCTGGCCATTGGAAGTTGACAGTGACCAATTGAGAGCAGTCATAGAAGCTGATCCTCTTACAACTGCACCAGAAGTTGCCAAAGAACTCAAGGTCAACCATTCTAGGTCGTTTGGTATTTGAAGCAAATTGGCAAGGTGAAGCAGCTCAATAAGTGGATGTCTCATGAGCTGACCAAAAATTTAAACAAATCAACGTTTTAAAGTATCATCTTCTCTTATTGTATGCAACAACCCATTTCTCAATCAGATTGTGACATGCAACGAAAAGTGGATTTTATACATCAACCAGTGATGACCAGTTCAGTGGTTAGACTGAGATGAAGCTCCAAAGCCAAACTTATACCCCAAAGAGGTCGTGGTCACTATTTGGTGGTCTGCTGCCAGTCTGATCCACTACAGCTTTCTGAATGCTGGCGAAACCATTGCATCTGAGAAGTATGCTCAGCAAATCAATGAGATTGACTGAAAACTGCAACACCTAAAGCTGGCATTGGTCAACAGAAAGGGCCCAATTCTTCACTACAGTCGTACAACCAACACTTCAAAAGTTGAAGGAATTGGGCTACGAAGTTTTGCCTCATCCGCCATAGTCGCCTGACCTCTCGCCAACCAACTACCACTTCTTCAAGCACCTCGACAACTTTTTGCAAGGAAAACTCTTCCACAACCAACAGCATGCAGAAATGCTTTCCAGGAGTTCATAGAATCCTGAAGCATGGATTTTTACGCTAAAGGAATAAACATTTCTCATTGGCAAAAAAATGTGTTGATTGTAATGGTTCCTATTCTGATTAATAAAGATGTGTTTGAGCCTAGTTATAATGATTTAAAATTCAGGGCCCAAAACCCACAATTACTTTTGCACCAACTTTAATAGTTAATACTTACTGAAAATCAACCAAACTTTTTTTTTTTTTTTTTTTTGAGACGGTCTCGCTTTGTTGCCCAGGCTAGAGTGAGTGCCATGGCGTCAGCCTAGCTCACAGCAACCTCAAACTCCTCAGCTCAAGCAATCCTCCTGCCTCAGCCTCCCGAGTAGCTGGGACTACAGACATGCACCACCATACCCAGCTAATTTTTTCTATATATATTAGTTGGCCAATTAATTTCTTTCTATTTATAGTAGAAACAGGGTCTCGCTCTTGCTCAGGCTGGTTTCGAACTGCTGACCTCAAGCAATCCGCCTGCCTTAGCCTCCCAGAGTGCAACCAAACTTAATTTACCATTATTGCTGAGTGATAGTTCTTCACCCTGCATCAACTGGCCATAATACCCTCTTGTAGCTTATAAGTAACTTTGAGAGATGTATAGTATTTTCTTTTAGGTAGCAGGTAATCCAAAACATGTACAATATTTCTTAAAGGCTATATTTTGGTGTACTCTTTGTGAAGAATTTAAGAGTTAATTACAGATACAAATAAAACTGAACGTCAACTGTACATGGTCCCAATAATTCAAATAACAGTACTCCTAGGTAGTGTCCTCAGCCATCTATGTTCTTCATGCACAAGCTGTGCCACCTGTGATGCATCTCTTCTCTAGTGACTGATAAGTACCAATGCTAGAAACTTTAAATTCTTAAAAAGACATATTTAAGAATAGAGGGAAATTGTGTAAAAATATATGATAAAAATTAGATTTCAAATGAAATGCAGAAAAATATAATTCAGTAGTCTTGAGAAAACTGGCTAACCCCACAAGAAGAGGGGGTGGAGGGTGATTAATATTTCCGCTTTAGATCAGGCGCTGTGGCTCATGCCACTCTGGGAGGCCGAGGCAGGAGGATCGTTTGAGCTCAAGGAGGTCAAGACTAGCCTCAGCAAGCTGGAGACCCCGTCTCTACTAACAGAAAAAAATTAACTCTACAACTAAAACATGTTGAAAAAATTAGCCAGGTATGGTGGTGCATGCCTGTAGTTCCAGCTACTCTCAGAGGCTGAGGTAGAAGGATTGCTTAAGCCCAGGAGTTTGAGGTTGCTGTGAGCTAGGCTGATGCCATGGTACTCTAGCTGGGGCAACAGAGTCAGACTCTGTCTCAAAAAAAAAAAAAAAAAAAAATTCCCACTTTATGCCAAAATAGATTCCAAGTAAATAAACATAAAACTAGAAACTAAGAAGAAATTATGAATGAATAGTGGATGTCAGGCTAGCAAATGCCCTATTACACATATAAGCAAAACTAAAACCATAAAGGGTAAAAAATGGTCATTATATAGAACAGCTTTTTTTCATTTTATTTTTATTTTTTGAGACAGAGTCTCACTATGTTTCCTGGGCCGAGCTAGAGTGCTGTGGCATCAGCCTAGCTCACAGCAACCTCAAACTCCTCAGCTCAAGCAATCCTTCTGCCTCAGCCTCCTGAGTAGCTGGGACTACAGGCACGTGCCACAATGCCTGGCTAATTTTTTCTACATATTTCTAGTTGGCCAATTAATTTCTATTTTTAGTAGAGACGGGGTCTCACTCTTGCTCAGGCTGGTTTCGAACTCCTGACCTGGAACGATCCACCAGCCTCAGCCTCCCAGATTGCTAGGATTACAGGCATTAGCCACCTTGCCCGGCCTAAAACAACTTTTTAAAATAAGATTTTTAAAAACCCAAAATCAAGCCAAATGATTTTGAAACAGCACAGACTGGAAAACATGTGCATATATAAAACAAAGAAATAAAATCCTTATTAATAAAGAGCTCTAAAATATCAGTAACAGATAGGTTAAATACCAGTAGGGAAATGAGCAATTCTCAAAGGAAGATATATTTGAATACCATAAGTATTTGAAAGATGTTTAACCTTGTAATAACCACTTAAATGCAAATTAAAACATGTTTTCACTTATCAGATTAACAAGGACTGGAAAAAGCTGAAAAGGAAAATTATGGAATATTTATTGCTATTATTGAAAATGGACACCCAGTAATTCTGCTGAAGGAAGAAGATAAATTGGTACAGCTTTTGAGAGGCAGGCTGTACAGATATGTTGCAGAATCTTAGTGTAATGTCTTTTCAAATCTTTACTTTATATAAGCTCCTCCATTTTCCTCAAATTTCAGCTGGGCATATGTTTAACAAACAGGTTTTGTTTAAATATGAGACAACTGCACTGGAACCTAAAATTAAGGGATTTACTTTCTTTTATTTGGCTGGATAGAATTTCTTGGCATTCTCTGTTTACCAAAAATATGCAGTTGCACCTGTCAAAATTAGTATTTGAATTGGCTAAGTCTCTAAACATGTCTAAATCCTCTCATGTTTCCTTCATTGTCAAGAAATATTTAGCTTTGAGAAAGAAAGGAAAGAAGGAAGGCAAACGCAGAGAGAAATTCATATTTCCCAGTTGGGGTTTATCATGTCGAAAAGTGGCTGAGCCATTTCTGTGTTCTAAATAGCTTTTCTGATTAAGAGCCGCTGTTGTTGAATGTATTTCTCCACTACTCAACCACCACAGAACCACTTTGTCTTGGCTTCGGTGTTGCTCTCTTCATTAAAGTGGCCTCTGCTGCTAACAAGGCTCTGAAGTTGCCGTAGCAACCGTATCCAAAGATTGGTTATAGTTGTTAAAACTGGACAAAGAGGAAGATAAAGGAGAGACATTTTCTAAATCCAGTAAGACAACTGTAGAGTACGTTTTTAAAATGAAATCGTTCATTTTTTAACCAATAGAAATAAATGTTCAGTAGTCAGTTTCACCCCATTTCCACCTCCAAGGAGGTTGTTGATGTAAGATTTCAAATGGGACAACAGGGACGTACGACAATGATAGCAATGATAAAAAAAAAAAAATGGCTGACATTTAGGGAGTGCTTGCTATATGCCAGACACTGTTCTAACCCCATTGCACATATATGTGTATTCATACCAATGTTTAACCTTAAAGACAATCCCATGAGGATTAAACCTCCTAACAGTTATTATTATCTCCACCCTGCAGGTGAAGAAACTGAGGCACCGGGTGGCTAAGTAACTGTCTTAAGAGCATGAAAATAGTAAATGATAAAACTAGGAAGTGAAAAGAATGATTAAAACTTTGACTTAAGAATTTTCTGATAAGCGACCAATAGAAGGTGCTACTGAATCTACTGGGTAAATCTTATTACAGCAAAGTACAAATCTGTGAATTTTTCCGGATATAATTTTGGTTATTTTTCCTTCAGGTGGAAAAGCAACT